TAAGCAAAAAAATAAATTCTTTTTCATTGCCGAGCTCAAAATCTATTATATTTCTTATTGTAAGATATTTTTAAAATCATTGTCACAATTGGTTTTGTTATTCATTCAAAGGCTGACGACGGTAAAACTTACTCAGTTTAAATATTCAAAAGTTAAAAGACTCTTAGTTAAATTTCAATTTACCTTCTGGCGGCTTTTTCTCAGTAAATAAATTCCTAGTTTATTCTATAGCCAGCAACAATCATATCTACATCTCTTACAAATTAATCTAGTAATCAGGTTTACAAAGTTTGCGTGGACTGGAACCTTGTCACTTTTAAGCTTATTTAAGCTGCAGTAAGAGGACCAATGAGAGGCGTTTTAATGGAAACATGTCCAGTATGGATGAAAGTTTGAACTTGTTTCAGGTGCTTTTTAACTTTCGGCTGGGCTTCCGAAGATCCTTTTCCAATTCTTATTACTGCGACAACTCGATGGTCGCAAATCAAAGCATCGTAGGAAGTGGAGACAGCTGGAGAGCAAGTCACGACAAAAGATATTATTTAAGCTTTACTGTGGCAGACACGGGATATCATTGCACCGATTTCAGTGTTCAGGAGGACTGGACACAAGGGGAAAACAGTTTTGAGTATACTTTCTCGGATGAAGGACCCTGGCTGATAAGGTGAGTCAAGCAAAATGGCTTTTACTTGTCAATAATTTTGAGCTATCGTGGTCGTTTAAGCAACTCCTCTGCATTTAACCATACACATTTCATTCTAAATACGCGAGAAACGAAACCTCGTTGGTACAAGGTAATGACGGTAGCCCGTCCTGATTTCCTGTGGAAATCATTATCAAAAAACAAACAAATAATGAGAAAAGCATTTACACAGGTTGGAAAAAAGATGTTTTCATACTCTACTTTACTTTTCCATTTCCAAAACAGAGCCATAATATGTGTCTATTAAAAAAAATCTGGATAGTATATATTTTTAAGGGAATCACTCGTGACAAATTTCTAATGATACCTATAGCTGAAATCGATCCTATTTCCTAGTTATTTCAAAGTCTCCTACTGGAGCTAAACTTCGCTTTTAGTGTTAGTCGATTAGTGTCAGTATGAAAGGTCATATGTTAACAGATAAAATCTAACTGTGTTTCGCTGCATCCAGTTATTCAAGTTGCTGTTGGATCTCATTAGCGAATGGAGGCAGTAGTTGGCTTCTCTCGACCACTGTCAACCTGACAAGGCGGCAGGATGACGGAAAAATCAACTCATCTCCGATCTCAGCAATGGCTCCCATCGTTCGACACCAGCAAGGCTGCCCAAAAACAATCACTATTCCCGCCGAGGACTCGGATGGTGATAAAGTTCACTGTCGATGGTCGATTGGCTATTACAGAGAGTGTGGTGGTGTATGTCAAAGCTTTCAAAGCGGCGCTTTGGACGAAGTAAGTTTAGCTGACGTGTTAAGAACTTTAAGGAAACTTCAATCATAGTTTCTTTTGCCTTTTCAAAGGTTTTACGTACAATTTTGAACTTTTTCGATTGCAAACTGTAAAATTTTTTTGTCTTTGCTCTTTTTCGACATGTTATCATTGCTTCTTTTATGCTTTGATCTTACAAGCACCGAGCTCAATAAGCTTCTGTTGTACTCCTGTTCTTTCAAAGAGGTATTGCGGGAGGGAAGTTTAAATGCTTTTTTGAATAATAAAGTTTTGGAAGCCGATTGTTCAACTGCAGTACTCCTACGGATCAACCATATCCTCACAAGAATACCAATGCATCATTAACTTCAAAATGATATCGAATTTTTATCTTGGTCACACGATCGTGACAACACAAAGAAACATCTTTAATTTCATTGGTCGGGAATTTCTAAAATAAAAAAGGCTATTTTTTGGTTGCATTGCATCTTTCTACATGTTGTAAAGTTACTTTTTTTATTTGATGTGAAAAGGGGAAATGCACTTTGAGTCTCCCTAGCAATATAGCTCTCGGTTGGCATGCAGTGGCTATTACCTTAGAAGATTACCCAGCTTCAACGACCAACTTCCAAAGCGCCACTCCATACAGTCATGTGAGCCTGCAGTTTCTTGTACACGTGAGTCCATCTTCCGGGCCGTGTAATAGGGCTCCAGTCCTAATAGGCCAAAGTCCAAACGACGGATCTTGTGAGGAAGTGTCAAATGGAAACACATTCAACAGCGTTATTGAAGCAAAACATATCGACTCCTCCAGAAGGTATGTGTTACTGCTGTACCCTTAACATGCTAAATCAGGTTGATATGATAGTGACACTTTCAGTTGAACATTATTTACTGCACCTGCTTTTTTTTCAATTTAGCTGTTTGAAGCAAGCCCTGATTGGTTAATTAAAGGAATGTGCTTATCAGACTTCAGAGCATTCTTCTGTTGAAATATTGCAGAACGCATAAGAACAATCTCTTTTTCTGTAACTGAGAAGGATAGGGAAGAGGTCATTTTTTGACAACAATGCTCCTACTTTGTGCATCGTCAAATTAATGTCAGTGTTTTATAAGCAGGCAATGAAATAGACAAAGATTCTCAACTTACCCATTGCGTTTGGATGCATTTCAGTGTGAAACAGGTTACGGAAAATCTTGATCTGAAATCTTGGGTCCAAAATTGTACAAGCCCTCTACAAGGCGGCCTAACTCACAAACATGTGTTTTTTGAAGTAAACCAATCACCTTCCGCCCTGAGCTTCACAGTAGTCCTGATCCGTAAGGAAGAATGTGAAAGCTTAGTTCCTTTTCATTTTTTATTTTTTCTACTCTATTTTAGCATTGCAGAGATTATCACTGTCACACCACTTTATATGGTTATTTCTGGCCTCCTGAATTACACTGATTCGATCGGGGATACAGTATTCTACAGGAACGCGTCGTGGAATCCGCGATTGTCTCAGAAAGGACGACATATCTTTTGTTTCAAGGCAGTTGACAACTTCGGGTGGGTCACTTCAACAAAATTGTTATAAAATCGCCTTCGCTTTTCTTTAAAAAAGGTACTAATGCATATTTGCAGACTATACAAGGTCTTTCTCACTTCTCACATGTTTCCTGGATAACGGCTCAGTGATGGATCTAGGGGAGGAGCCCAGGGGACCCGACCCGCCCCCCCCCCCCCTTATTTTGGGTTAAAAAAAAAAAAAAAAAAAAAAAAAAAAAAAAAAAAAAAAAAAAAGAAAGAATCGCAGAAGAAAGAAAAACCGGCAGGTCAAGCTAAAAAAAACAGGTCCCCTCCCTTAGCTCAGGTTCTGGATCTGCTACTGCCGGGCTGGCTCAATAAGACTCAATGATTTTCTTAAATGTCTACTTTGATGTAATCTTATTTATGAGCAACAATTCGCATTTCAGAATTGAAAGCAAGCAAAGATGTATCACTATTATCGTCGGATCAAGTAAGCTTGCATTTTTAATAGTATTCTGCTGGTTACTCCGTGTCTGAAATTAAACAGTTGATTCGAATTCATACGCGAAAAATTCTCATGCACTGCAGGCCTGATTCTAATGTCCTTTCAATGTGATTCTTTTCAGACAGCACTCCAAATCCGTTATTGTACTCCCGTGTTCCTGTGGTTCCTCGTTTGTCATGGCCGTGGTGGTTTGGATTTGTGGACTTTAACATAACGTTTGACCAACAGGTATTTTATATACTGAGTTGAATTATACACGTATTTTGATGGGTTCTAACTTATAATCTATTCAAGGACAGACAGGCAGATGACGTCAACAAAAAGATTTGGTTGCCATGGTTTTGCACAATAAAAGATCACAGAACACGTCAAAATGTGGTGAGAACATCAGTGACACACTCAGCTCCGCCTCAAATGCCACTTTTTTGTTCTTACCACGTTGTGACGTCATCTGTAATCTATTACTGAACATACGCTCGGCAACAAAGAATACTTTTTGTAAAGTAATTCCACGAAAGCCTCTTTTTAAGCTTAACTGCAAACGGCTAACTAGTTTGTTTCCATAACACAGATCAAAAGACCACGTCATTCCAAGTTTATAAGGATCGTCTTGGAAGATCACGTGATATACAAACTTGACACACGCTCTTCGAGTGAAGTCACCGTTGATAAATTCAGCCTTAAATTCCGCCTGCCGCAAGTTGTTCTCAGCATGCGAGGAAATTATTCTATCACCATGGACCGTGGTGTTGTCGTGGGCCTCGGTTGTACATCGGATGGTCCGCCCTCACCAGGCTTCAGCTCGTTGAAAGACTGGCCATTTGATGTTGGAGTTTGTTCTAAGGGCACTTACATGGGTCAGAATAATCAGTGTCGTGGTAAGAACATTGCGTTTTGCGTGGAGTACCACAGGGGTACACTATGCTCTTACTTATTTGCGATCCTTTCGAATCGTATCCATCTTTAACCACTCTTGCTCCTTGTTGAATCAGTGTTGCCTTCCATAGAATAGAATAGTTCCCCCATGAGAAATCGAACCTTAAACGTTTATGCCCATGGTCCCATGTTAAGCCTTCTTGAGATTAGTGCCGTAGTGAAGCCGTTTATTCCTCGTGAATATTCTGGTACTTAAACCTTAAGGATACGCTACTTGGCAGGTCACGTGTTCTCTACCTTGCTAGACGAAGTCTCAATTAAGATAAAAGGGTCTCACAAGGTCGCCAGGTCATATGTTTGTTACATACCATTTACGATTATGAGAATTAAATTTGTTACAAGTCGTGAGAATTATTATGTTCTAATTTCACGGTGAGAAGATAAACCTTAGCTTGGGTTGCTTTTTTTCTAGACGTAAATGAATGTTCGAAGGCGCCGTCCATTCTGAGTCGCAAGAAAAGAAGTCATCGGTATTGGCGCTATTACACTTCTGCGCAAGGTAGGTATATGTTTTACCGCATGTAATTTGACATATCTCAGTTGTTCTTTTTTCGGAGGAAAACTAACGAGTTTCTCTCATTTTATTTGACAGCCATGGCATCAAGTATGCCCACTACTAGTTTTTCACCGACGCCAGGTAATTCAGCGGTGTTCAGTTGTAATTAATAAGGAGCAGTAATTGTTGCTTTTGGTGGTTATTTGTACCCTGAGGGCCTGTTTACATTTAGGTGGGGGACCCCAGGTAGGTGAGGTAACCCGCCTAGCCGTGGTCGAAAAATAAAACGCGTTTACATACCATCTTACAACCCCCGACTTTTCTTAATTTATTAACACTTTTAAACTCACATTTTACATGTTTTCGATTCAGCTTCCTTTTCTTTTTTAATCATATCGAGATGAAGGTGCCAAAGAAACATTTTTAAGATTGGAGATCAAATATTTCGGGATCGCACAATCTCTTAACACGGGAATACAAAATAGTTCGTATGTTTGATCCGGCTAAACGGTAGAAAACATTCCCACACCTTAAGATAAAAAACTACAACCAAATTTGCGGATGAAATGAACTCAGCGTAATGTTTAATTGTCAATAATCTCAGATTTGATGTACGTAAAGAACAGTTACTAAATATGATGTGCTTGTCTATGTTCTATAGCGATATCTCCAACCAGGTCGTCTAGTCATATTCCATGGACCGTGTCCGCTAATGGTATAATTCTTGATATTTCTATTTCCCCTAATGCTGGGTGAATATTGTAACGAATGATATTTGAAAGCCTTGATTTGAGAGCACGTGTTACTTTATATTTTTGGCTTCTTCTCTTTGGTTAGAAATATTAGTCATTGTTAAAGAATAATTTGTAAAATTTGTCTCTTGAGAGTAACGTGACTTCCCATAAAAAAAAAAAGAGTTTCTACGTATCTATTGTACCAAGAGGTCTTAGATCTTACAAACTTTACTCGTTTTCAACGTTTTGTTTTGCTTATGCCCATTCTGGTTATTAATTTTTATTTTTCTAGCATTTCTTTTTGTTCCCACTTGCGCTTGAATTTTTATTCGCGTTTAACAGTCATTGAAAAAATTCAACCGAATCGCTTATTACAATTTTTTTTCGAAACATGGAGCAATTAAGGATGCAGATAGAATCTCCATTTATCTTTACGTTTATTTCAGAGTGCACGAGTCACTACTTTTTGGAGGATTTTGGAAGATCAGTTAACTACGTCGGGAATGTCACATGCGACGACGGCCTTGCCCATGGCTGGTACAGATTTCGCGGTGCAGCAGGAACTCAAATGCCCACCTACTGTGTGGGAAAGTACCATTGTGGAACGCATGCGCCTGGCTGGCTGAGAGGTGCGCACCCTTCCGTAGCTGACGGGATTATCCGTGCGTTGGTGTGCTTCCACTGGGGGTCGCAATGTTGTTCGTGGTCCACGATCATCCGCGTGCGCAACTGTGGTGGATTTTATGTCTACGAACTAAGACGACCACCGGCTTGTCATCTGCGTTACTGCGGAGGTAACAAATTATTACATTTGCTTACTCAATCATCTGCTTAAGTCATCGATTCCTAGTTTTTCAGATCTTTTTTACATGGTTGCTTAGTGTGTTTTTGGCAAGTTTTCCGACCATTTTCTTCTCTTTAAAACTACTCATGTAAAAAACTGATAATATGAAGTTTTTTTAAGTTGTGAGGACACTATTAAGAGGTGTTGGACCATGTGTAGGATAAGACTGAAGAAAATTTTTTGATTTTCCCCAGTGTATATAAATAAAGTAGAAAATGAAAACAAGAAAGAGAGAGATAAAATAAAATGTATACCAACATCAAACCAAATTTAAGCTGGCCACGAAAAAAGCGAATTCAGCTATTGCAGAGATGGTGATTCGCTTATGACGCAATTTTTATATTATTCAATTATTGCATTTACTTCAGAAGGTAACGTCCAGTCAACTCCAGTGATGCGTATTTCTTCTAGCGTGGTAACATCTTCACACGCAAGTGAGTGTCTAAATTGTTCAGTCAAATTTCAATCCAGAGTCGGAGGCAAAACACAGGAAAGTCGTAATTGATCAGTTTCTGCAAGTCCAGCAAAATGGAAACACTATAAGTTAGAAAAGAAAACAAGAAAGAGAGAGATAAAATAAAATGTATACCAACATCAAACCAAATTTAAGCTGGCCACGAAAAAAGCGAATTTAGCCATTGCAGAGATGGTGATTTGCTTATGACGTAGTTTAAACATTATTCAATTATTGCTTTTGCTTCAGAACGAAGCGTCCAGTCAACTCCAGTGATGCGTACTTCTCCTAACGTGATGACATCTTCACACACAAGTGCCAGTGAGTGTCTAAATTGTTCTGTCAAATTTCACTGAATCCAGAGTCGGAGGCGAAACACAGGAAAGTCGTAATTGATCAGTTTCTGCGAGTCCAGCATAATGGACACACTATAAGTTAGAGTGACAAACTTGCCAGAACTGCTATAAAAAAACTTAATTCAACACCTTCTGCTTTTCTCTCTCCCTCTCTCAGACTCGTTGAACATAAAAGCAACGGTTGCTACAGTAATGCCTGTTGCGTCCAGTACACCATTTGTGCTACACCTTCCCGCCAATTGCCAGCATGACTGTGTTAACACATGGGGAAGTTATTACTGCACTTGCCGTCAAGGATACAGATTAGAGGCGGATGGGAAAACATGTCAGGGTAAGAACACAGATCACGGACTACTCCATTATCCTTCAATATCCACCGACAGTCTCAGTTATGCCGAAAGAGTAAAACAAACAAGACTTGATTCCCTGGTCACAGCTTATTGCATAAACATCATTACGTGAACAATGTTTGTTGCAGTTTGTACCTAACATTACGCCAAAGACTCGCACACACTGCATCGTAAGGCATCAAGAAGGAATGGGGGAAGTGGGTAAATACGGTGACGTTATTTATAGATTCTTTCCTTGACGTTATTATACCTCTGACGTCGCTTTTATTCGATTTAAGGGTACTTCTAAACAGAAATAAGCTGTATCTTGCGCCAAAACGCGAAATAATTTCGCGAAAACGGCGTAATTTAAGCGTCGTAAAATCAATACCCACGTGCACCTTGCTAAAGGAAAATGCCGCGAAAATTTCAAGCAGTGAGCTAGCTGTACAAAAACTAACGCATCTTTAGCATGAAAGGCTTTCTATTCTAATTGTGGTTATATTGTTCCATTTGAAATCTTGAAATTATGAAGCTCACGTAACAGAGATGATCCATTGCAGGAATCTATTGAACTTTAATCACATCCGAAAAAAAAAGGAGATTCTTGGGATTTTCCAGAATGCGCCGTTTTAAATTTGGTAAATTGATCAGAGTTGAATCAATTAGCTCACCCTGCTTTTTACGAGTCTCACAAACGTTTTATGTTTGTATTTACTGATAGATATAAACGAATGCTTAACTCAAAATGGAGGCTGCACCCATCAGTGTGTGAATATCCCAGGAGGTCACTATTGCAAATGTCCCGAGGGTGTAACAATGGGCTTTGATAACAAGACTTGCCATGGTAAGTAAATTGCGTGCAAACTATACTCTCACAGCTGACTGCGCGATCCTCTACACTGCTGTGCTACGTTTTAATGCATAAACATTTGGTACAGAACAGTTTTTCAACAAAATTCTTTTATATCTGTTGAAACTAACAAGGAGATAAGTATTAACGGATGGGTAAAATATATGGTTAATTGATTTCACTGGCAGAATCTTCACTTGTGAACTCATGTTTTTCGGTCTTTTCAGAACCTGGTATTACAGTGAAATGTACAGCTGAAGCAATGTTTATCTTTCTGGAGAGAAAAACTTTCCAAGGCTTTGATCCAAACAAACTGACACTTCTTTACCCGTCATGCCGTGCGTCCTACAACGATTCCCACATTTCCTTGCGCACGAGTCTCAATGACTGTGGAACCACTCATAACGAAAGCGAGGACGCGATAACTTTCTACAACAAAGTGCGAAGTGTCCAGTCCTACTCCGGCAGCATCATCACTCGGGAGCAAAATGTGTCAATTCCTTTCTACTGCAGTTATGGACGTAAGGCCCGGCTACGAAATCCAAGTTTCAAAACCTGGAAGAATCATTTCACAGCTTCGGAAGGTAAACTTTTACAAGGAAATGCTCATTTAATTACTTCTGTTTTAAGATATAACGTTGACTTCATTTCTACAAGAGTCATCGTACAGTTTAATGAATTTATATACTTCAAGGGAAAACATTCATTGAATAAACCCTTTTTTTGAAAAAGCCCTCAGCTCGTCTCCTTGCCAAATCGATGATACTCCTTTAGCTGTCACCTGACACTATGGTGCGATTTTACGACCTTTATTGCTTTCCAGAACTCAATGAGCCTTTCGTTTTTGCTCAAGTTCAATTTGATTTTCTGTCGATACTTTCATTGTTCCCAACAACCACCAGGGCTGGGTGATCCATGACGTTTACAGATCTTAAAGAACAGCCGGCAATTTTACTTTCTTTTCATAGGTGGATATGGCAACTTCACCTTCACTATGGATCTATTCAAGACGGGCAGATATCTTACACCGTTCAGTTACAATGACTATCCAATCACGGTTCATCTTCGGGATCAGTTATTTCTTCAGTTGACGGTACAGTCACACCAATCTAACCTGGTTCTCTTTGTCGACACCTGCAAGGCGACTCCCACTCCTGATCCGTACTCAGTTCCTCAGTATGTCTTCTTACAGAGAGGGTAAATATGTCTTGCTCTGTACAACGATTCCTGAAAAATGTTTCCTATAAAAATTTGCGGTTTATGCAGTTTCTCCCTCAACGAACGTTTTGGATTACACCAAGACTGATTCCGGGCGTAACCAGGGTACAAAATAGAATCAAATTTTTGTGAAATCCATTTTACGGAGCAAAAACGCGCAAACTGATGGCGAATATTTGAGTAGATAATAATAAGCCGTGAATCAAGCCACTAAAAAATTTTTTTAACTTTGTTTTATTTTTGTTCGAGTTAGTTTTTCGTGGTGCTAATTTTTTATTTCCTGGTGGTTTTCGTATTAGCTCATCTACAAATTCATAATTACAATTCTCTTTGCTTGGCTGCAGATGTAAGCTGGATTCTACCCTCAATTATTCGTACTCCATCAGCTCCAAACAGCGTTTTAGCATTCAAGCGTTTCGTTTTATTGAAGACCATCCAGTAGTGCATCTTCACTGTGAAGTCCTGGCTTGCCACCGTAACACTGCCCGGTCTCGCTGCCTCCAGGGATGCTCCCGCTATCGAGGACGGAGAGACGAGGTGCCTGGTTCTGAGAGTACTCAAGTGTACGAAATGTCGTCAGGACCAATCAAATACCAGAACGGGGCGAGTGCAACGGACACGACAGAAGGTGAGTGGGCAGTGGAGAGTCGTGGGTAACGATTTACTCAATACTTATGTGGAAAGGGTAGATACTCGATAGATATTCCAAACTCCTACTTGACTCTTTATGATAGTTCATCGTAGATTGACCATGGAATCAGCACGAAAGAATTGCCATACTTTCCCAACTCGATACAGGTTACCAAACACCAAACAAACGTCAACTGAATGTACTAGATCCTTACATAATTTACTGAAGTAACCGTAAAGTTACTGTACCTAAGCCGAATCGCTTTCAATTTGTTTTCATCCTTTTAGCTGAAACTCAAACCAACATGGAGATCATTACAGTAGTGGCGGCATCCGGCGGATTTTGCCTCCTTCTTGTTATCATTCTCACCATCGTCGTTATTCGAATCAAGAAGCGTCTCAAAGGAGCCTTCGCAGATCGCAACAAAGTCTACCCCATGGAACAGTGTGGCAATCACGTCAAGGAAGACAACAACAACAACTTGGGTTTCGTTCAGGATGACGAACTGAACGAGATGGGGTACAAGCCGATCATTATGAAACCGCGTGCTCTTGATGCCGTTACTTCGGAGAGAGCTTGATACGAAGAATGGAGTGTTTCCTGAGGGTCTCTCTCATCTTGGATGTATATTAAGGACTGGAATACTCGTGGGAAAATGTTAATTTCACCTCCAAAAGGGGACTGATCTGGATATAGCTGGTGCATCAGGTTTTTTTGGCCCCCAAACATGTCAATTAAAAATCTAAGCAATCTCATAGCAATGTTTTTTCTTATTGATGGAGACTACAAAAACAGCGCGACAGGTTTGTTTAATGCCTTCCGAAGAAATCTAGAACAGGTACATCGACAATTAACTATTTTAGTGTTTCTGCTGGGATACTCCCAGTGATGCAAAAATCTACACCTTCATCCTTCCTTAAATTACGAGCATTCCAGGTCCTCTCATCGTGTTGGAGACCCACGGGGAATACTGATTGCTTGTTTCCCATTGGTAATATAACTTGCACTTGTGGCTACTGGTGGGTTACATTTTTCACTTTTTTCTTTTCCAGTTGTACACACAATTTAGATGCTTCTCTCAAAGCTACAATTCTGCTTTAGAGCAAAAGGCATGGTGTGTTGCAGCCCGATGTATTTTTATTGTGCGTGTGTTTTTCTTAATCAGACTGATGGTCAGACGATGAAAATAGGGCAGGCATAAGTGTTTGCCATCATCACTTAGGTAGCTTTTTCGTAGAGTTTTACTACATGACCCACAGAAAAAAAAGAGCTTTAAAAATGTATTGATGTCGTGTAGTGGAGTTGTGCTATTACTTGAGGCGAATATTAATCATCTGAGTGTGCCTCTTTTGTTGTCATCGCTAAGATTATTAAGGGGTTTTCTTGAATATTTAGCATATTGTATCCGCTTATATTACGGGCTGGAATAAAGAGAGTGCTTAGCTTAACATTTTGAGTTGTCATTCATACGCCGATTGAATGCAAACAGGATGGAAGTTTGAAAAAATCTGCAAAAACTCATTCTTTGCTCCAAGAAGAATGTTCTATTATTTTGTTCCTTCTCTACCTCTATGTTCTGTCATTGTCCGGCTTAAATGTTAATGATACTCAAAGTTTTGCCAGAGTTTTAGTTTTGTTGAAACAACTATTTTTAGCCGATAAAAAGTTGCTTACAAAGATAATTTCAATCTCATGATCACTCCATCTGCTGGATTCGCTTTTTGTACCGTGATGTTACCAAGGAAAAAAGACGTTTTGATGAGTGGGAGATAACAGCGAATAACTGTCTAGTCATCGTGAAAACACACGGATCAATATAGTATAATAACAGCACCAATATATCATAGACATAGACTCCAGTGCATTGAAAAAACGCATAAATTCAAGCTGCACAATTTCTTACAAAAAAAATTTCAGGATGAATTTCTATCTTAGCCGTTTAGGTAACATTAAGTTAAAAAGTTGCGAGCTTTATTATCAAGCAAACCAGTGATCTGTTTTATGATCAAATAACCTACGCCCTTTGACATCCATTTATGGATATAAATATAAAAGCGATCTTCGCAATAATGAACACTGTTTAAGCAGTAGTGAAAATGAGACCTGGAAAAAAATCAAGCCTGTTCGGGATTGGCACCCATAACCTTTGCGATACCGGCGCAGTGCTCTACCAACTGAGTTAACAAGCCATCTGGAAGCTGGTCATCATCATGGTTCCTAATAAACCCGTGAAGTGATGAATAAATGATTTTCATATACTCACGGTCATTTATAGATATATTAGGTTCATGACAAGCAGTGTTAATGGAATTTTCAACATCATGATTCTCATTATCATTTAATTAGATTTTAAGAATTCTTTTGGTTAAAAACTTTTCCTCCCTCATCCCCAATATCCCTCTAATTTTGACAGTTCTCCCATAGTTCTTGTAGTAAATTTACTAAAATTAGCAAGAAATTGATAGGAATTACTGAACGAACTCGTGCTATAAACCTCAAGAAAATCTACAGCTGAGTTTCTGGTCCCACTAATCTTAAGCGACTGATTTGTACCAAAAAAAATCGGTAAATAACGTTTTGCTACGATCTGTTATATTAGCTATTGAGTAGAGATGAAAAATAGTTTGAACTTGGATCTCTACTTATGATATAGGCCAATTATCATGAGATTATAAAACTCACAATTACTCGTCGAAGGCAAAGTGAATGGTCCTCGAGACACAAAGCATAGCAACGCAAATGCAGAGCTTACACCAGTAATACAAATACAGTAATCTTGAAAGATTTAGGAATAATGGGCAGAAAACATGATGATCCTTCCTCAGAAAACCAGCGAATGTTACACATTCATCCCTAAACTTAAGCTGATTGAAAGATAGGTATCCTACAGATGGCGAATGTAGAGATATTAAAAACCTAAACGTCATCAGTATGCGGTTTTCAATTCTTAGCCCTAATATTTGTTGGCAATCTATTTTGTTGATTTATTTTAAATCGAACAGACAAAAGAAAACTCTAGAAAGGGGCGGAATTTTCAACGCATTGTCGGTAATTTGACCAAAGGTGCAAACGTCTGACGTTACTGAAAGTGGATGTTTTTTCACTGCGGTTTTTAAAGCTGAAGCAGCACCAAACGGTATTTCAACTAAAGGAGTTTCTTTCGCTCGAAAAGTGGAGGTTTGTTGACAGTTGTAGGATATAATCTCATACAGTCTCATAATCTTGTACCATTGAAACTTATATTCGTCGGGCAGGAGCTCAAAATTCGGGAAATTGATCATGTACATAGCTCCTTCTCGAGTTATTTATCTTGAATGATTTAATTAATCTAGAATTAGATTTTTCTGACTTTCGATTGCAAACCGTGTCAATTTTCTGCATTGATCATTAGTAAAACGCGATCCTTTTTGGCTTATATTGCTAAACTAATAATTGGTGGTTTCCGGAGCATTGAAAGCTAATTCACACGTCGCTAATTGTTCTTTGCAATGAGACAACCAAGCACAATTCGAAACTTGACCGATTGATCAATGCAGTTTTTGGGGATCTTTCAGGCCATGGTCCTTCTATCCTATCGGGCCTTGACTGATATTTCCAATATTTATGAGCTATTCGTTAACAACAAACTCTTTGACTTTGAAAAGATATTCAAAAGCGCAAATCCTAAAGCCGGAACTGAAAGTTCAAACAAATTCCCTCATTTACGGTCTGATCCCTATAACCTGAGGAAGTTATAACACAATTTATCGAGTGTTTAAAAAATTTGTCCAAATCATCGATCTCGGGTTTAACGTTCACTTTGTGGTTTCATTTTTTTTCTTTTTGAATAACTCCATATATAATTACCATGACTAAGAAAGTCACTCAAGATGATCGAGTCAATATCACAGGAACCCGCCTATGTTACTGATATCCTCCAAAGAATTGACATACCCCAATGTCTTTCGTTATTACAAAGAATTCCGTCCGCACACGGTATAATATCAACGTACACCTTTTTTCAAATCACGCTCACCATTAATTTAATAAAGTAAACCTTTTTCGGACCCGAAATCTCGGCAGGACTTTGTTCTACTCTTTTACTTTCTTAAAAAAAGAAACTACTCCATTATTCACAGAGAGTTGTACCCCGAGGTCTACTAATTCTATCCTGACTTGTGTAACACTGATTGACTATGATATTAATTTCATCAAGAGATCATAAAATTTATTTACAAAGGATAAGTTAGGTATGGCTGCAATATTGATGTTTTCACAGATTCAAATGGGAAAAGCCAATTTAAGACAGAAATATACCGTAATACCTAGCCCAGTCTCCTACAAGGTTCATAGGTAAAAAGTAATCTAACAAAAATGAACCAACCCATACGCTGAGAAAGCTCTGAGATTCCCCAATGGTAGTTTTCTCAACATGTCTTACATCCGTTATTAAAAGGGTGCCAAACCGAGAATCTACAGCGGAAAATAAACGGGTAGTTTTACACACCAGCTTTTCTGACTACGGGCTTTAATAGGGGAAAGTAGAGCAAAGCACGCTATGCGAGAGTCAATGCACTAACCCTAAGGATACGGTCAATTATTTATCCCCGGGGTACTGGAGTATTTTGGGGATCACCTGGTTTTCAGAAGGAACTAAAGGGGGGGGGTAATTGGTCATTACTAAAAGAGTATAAAAGGGAAACTAAAGAAAATTGAGTGCCAGTTAACTACCAATGAGGGGGAATCATTAGCATATTACAGAGCCGTAATGTTTATCACATAAATTTCAAATTTAATTCAGATCCATACAAGGTAGAAGAAATTTCTTGCCCTTCCACGTTCTTAATTTTTTTTTTCTGCGAGGCATAACTGCAGCCCGGTCTTTAAACTGAGCTTAGTCTTATCTACTGTTCACGAGCACTCCTAAGCGAGACAAAACAAACTATGTCGCCACTCTCAATACTTTGATTTAAAGAAGGTACTGTCTCAAAATCTCAAAAACATCTTGCGCAACCTCTAAATATGCCCAGCGGGGTAAAGCTAATACCAAGCATATGCAGAGTGAAGGTCATCTAACAAAGTCTTTAGGTAAACGAAAAATAACAATGAAAGTAAAAAATTGTAATGTTGAATTGATCGTTGAATTGAAAATAACAAGAATTTCACAACACAACGCTAGTAGTGAAGTGATATGGATTTTATTGCACGAGTTTCTGGAAAACGTTACGTAAAATAACGTTTCACAATGTGTTGACAATCGTGAGGAATTTCCATGAAGTGATTGGAAAGCGCATCTGTCATTAAACTGGCAGAACATTTTTGAATGAAGCAGGCGGTATAAAAGGTCAGTTACATATTTTTCATGTGACCATGGATTGATTTTGACTGCATTCAAAAATTGGGTCGAAAGAGTACAATCGTAAAGCGAGGGGTGCACGAGCTCTCAACCGATAGATGTTTTTCTAATCTTGCAGCGCAAAATTTCCCGGCTCCATTTCCTAATTCAATAAGATACAGATGTATTTCTCCGTAGCCTCTCAGACGTTCGTGATATTTCGAGGATGGAAAGTGACCTCTGCGAGTGGTAAGTCTCAAATAATCAGATCATTGATGAACGGCTTCTACCTTTGTGCTTTTGTTCCGTTTACTTTGGTCTTGCCTACTTTCTTTCTCGTTATTTGTACGTTCACCTCGCTAATATTTGCAAGAATTAGAAGATACTATAACATTCACGATCTCCAGATGCACCGCTAGACGCTGAAAAAACCACAGGTCGCTATCAAACAGCTTTTATTGTCATGTATTTGTTGTTACTCGTCTTAAAAATTTCTTCTCTCTGAATATCACATGTGCCAAATTCCTAGGAAGAAAGACCCTGAGCCTGTGTCGATCGATATTAAGAAATAGGAAAAGCAATTTGTTGCCGGAAAGGGGAACTTTCTCCATAGTCACATCGATGTGAAACTTGCTTATTTCTCTAGACCAGCGCGACTGTGGAGCAGAAAGAGTAGAACAATTTGTGAGCAATGAATACCGTCTTGATTTTAATGAATTTATCTATTCCAGACGTTGGGGGATCTTTCCTGGCGGTGTTTGCACTAGCAGTCCTGTACGAGTGCTTCAAGGGACTTCACGTGACGTTAAAACAACGTTTAAAGACGAGGAGTTACCGCGGGTCAACAACCAGTGTGCTAGCGTCCAGAATACATACCGCTATCAAATGGTAAGTTTCATGATCGAAACTTAGGAGCGGGAATAGAAGCAGTAGGGTAAAAGTTTTGGTACTCTAAATAACTAAGTCCTATTTTTCGAAATTGAATTCTGGACGACACGTTCCGTTCATAAGTCTTCTCGTCCCTTTTTCGCCACTTGCAGAAGAACGTTTTTCTAAAGAATTTTTTTATTATAAAACAAACCCCAAAAGGCCACAGTCTGCGTTAGAAACCAATAAAATTCACAATAATGTCGATAACAATATCGTTCGTGAGACTATATTTATCTAATAGTAAGGAAGACTGGCAAAGTTTCAAGTTATCAATTGTCAACTTTTTTTTTATCTTTTGTTTTACTAAACAGTCGTGACCTTGTGATGCAGTTTTCCGAGACGTGTCTCTTCGTAACCGAACTGGCTTTCGCTTATTTCTTGATGTTGATCAGCATGACATACAACGCGTCTTTATTTGCGGCTGTTGTTATCGGTCGAGGAATGGGTTATTACTTAACGACGCCACTTGTTGATACCTACATTACCAAAAGCGAGAAGACTGGTGATTACAGTGACTTTCGACGGAGTTCAAAGTCAACACTAAGAAAGCGGGAGCCACTGATCAAAGGAACAGACATATAAGCTTATCGGACAGAAGGATCACTAAATAAAAATATTTTTTAAACTATAAATGTAAGTAATTGGATAAGATAAAACACAATTAAAAGTGTTTTATCTTATCCATTTATTTTTTTTTTTTGAGGGTTGAAATGCTAGAGCGGATTAGAAAACATACTAAAACTTCTCTTATTACCACATACCGGTTCATTATGCGACCCAGGTCTCTCAGTTTTCAGGCTCTCTGTCACTGCAACAGCCTCGACGGCTTACTTGCCATTTTTCGCGTTTTTCGCATTTTTCACCTTTTCGTTCGTCTTCACTAACTTAGAGCCTGCACATGCCGATGAACTCTAAAGTAGGGGAATCAGGGAAACTTTTTAATGTAATCTCTACAACGAATAACAGATTAAAACCAAACATTATGGTCCGCACCGCAACTCTTTTTGTTGTAACACACAAATAACGTGAATCACACGTTGTATTTTCCTTTCTGTTCATTTAAAAACTTTGGACAAGTTGAACAAGATGTTCATCGGGATGTTACCTACTGATCTAAACGGAGCTATGCAGGTTATGTCCTATAGAATAGAATAATAAAAAAGTACGTAATTATTAAAAATACCTCTTTTGCGTCGGTTGAAAATGTAATGTCGACGTAACAGTTTAGAACGTTTTTACCTTGAACGACTTAAGGTTATTGTGATACTGTATTACGACTGATTTTTCTCTTAAAGCAATCATTTATTTTACTTCATTTGCAATTTTTTCATTAATTTTTAACATCCTGAGTTGGTCAGTTGTAGGCAAGGACATTGTCAAGCGCATGGTAAGTCAGATTGGAAAATAAATACTCCGGGGGAAAATACAGCACATGCAACATCTGAAGGGGTTCGAATAAAAGGCGTCAGCTTTTGCGGTTGAATGCGTCGGTATTCATCAATTCATGAATTCATTCTTTAATTAATCTTCATTTTCCACAGACCTAAGCAGCCAATTACTAGTTTCGTCGAGTAGCAATGCCTCATCGTCACTTTCGAGAGAAGGCAGAACCTATTACGTGCTGTAATGAGATCCAACTCGACTGCCTTTGTTTCCTAGAATGTAAGGGACCGGATGTATCTTTTTTTCTCCGTACGTCTCTTTCACGCGAACGGTTCTGCATCAAACAATGGGTATTTCACAACAACTCCAGGATATCTGCTTCCCAACATTTCCACTTCTACTCGAGAGCCCAGATCAGTTAAAGGAGGAGGTAGATAGGCGAAACATATACTCTTGTTAAGCTGATAGCTGTAGGAACCACTTGAGGTAAATCCTACAACCTGTTGGAATTGATAGCAGAAAAAAATAAGTTATCATCAAGTCCACCTTAACCAATGACAGAAGCAAACGTAAACGACGATTCTTCCGTCGTCATACTCACTTTTTTGCCATTCCAAACAGTTTCGTTTCCCTCGGGGTCCACATCTGTTGTATCCACCGTCATGAAACATAGGACACGCTCACAGTCATCTCTTTTCAATTTAAGGAGAGCTTCTCGTCCAATGAATTCAACACCCTATGCAAATGCATGAATAAGTCAGGAGTTCGGTAGAATGCCTCTGAATGTGATCAGCCTTTCTAATGATAAATACCTTACCTTGTCTAACTTTACAAACGACATTAAATCTGCTTCAACGGCGGTAGTTGAAGTATTCATCTGCGAAGAAAATTGCAATAGCTGTTGAAAAAAATGCCTTATAAAAGCGTGCAAGGATTACTGGAACGTTCTTCGGTAAAAGTAATAATGAAGGCAGAGAATGTGTCTTAAACCTTTAGCGTGACGAAACAGGGCTTGCCGGAGGAAACTGAAGAAAACTTATGCTGCCAACTTTTATTCTCTGCTTCTCCTACGCGAAGCTTAATTGTGGAAAATTTGGCGCATAAAGAGGGAAAGAATAAATGGTGTAAGAGTATAGTTGTATTTACATCGTAAGGTTAAGCTACGTTTTGCAATACCTCAAAGCCCCATAGGCGGAACCCTTTCTCCAGTCTGAGGGAATTTAAGGCGTACGTGCCAAAGTCTCCAATGCCGTGATCCTCACCAGCTGCTAACAGAGCCTCATACAAATCTGCTGTGTGTTCCTTCATATGAAATAACTCCCATCCCAACTCACCTTGGATAAAACGTAAAAGTAAATTTTGAAGCAGCCCTAAGACGACTTACTGATGGAATATTTATTAATCATGGTAGGTTAACTCTTCATCTTAACAGCTTTCAAAAATGTAAATCCATTGCCCTCAAAACTTTAAAGCGCTATATACCACAAGTTTCAAATGTGGTCAGGTGAATAAATAGCTCAATTGGCATAAAACAGTTAAGGCAGTCGTAGAGGCCTCGACCTAGACATAAGTAAACTCATGAATGAAAAATTTAAAGACAAAATCATAGGCCGAGCCCGGCTATACAAAACTAGCATTTTCCCCTCAAACTTAAGTACATTATACCTTTCAACTTGTGCTCACACCTTTCCTAGGGAAAGTTGTAAGAGAACGAGAAAAAATTGTAAAATAATGTACCTGTTAAAGAAAATCGATTAGCCTGCACGGGGATTCCTTCAAGCTCTAAGTTGTGATATGCCAAGTATGGAAATCTTTCATCGCTTAGGTTTGATGATGTCATCTTTGATAGAACGTCGCGTGAACGAGGCCCTGCGATGCCCAGGCAGGCCACGTCATCAGTGATATTCGTGATGACGATATCATAATTATTTTTGCGTTGATTTGCCAACAACCATCTGTGCCAAAACAGCTTAGTGTTAGCACAGCTACCAAGTTATTTTCATTGTGTGAATGATAATCAAAGGGAACATAACAATAAATATAATACAAAAGATGGTAAATGGTTGTATTCAGGCCAACGGCACTGAAGGTAACTCCAAGTTATCTACACTTCCTCCTGCTTCCTTTGTGCACATCTTAACTCATTTCTAAATGAGCACAAAGAGGGGTAAAGTCAGCCTCACGACTCTTCCTTCCCTCTCTGCCACACCCACAGAAATCAACGCATCCTCCTCTGGGTGTTTTTGGGGGTGAATGAAAATTTTGACTTAAAAAAAATTATAACACTGGGAAAGCAGAGATGGCGGAGATGCAGAGATGACGCGAAGGTTCAAGGTCGGTTCCCAAGCCTGGCGTCACATTTGAGTTTTTCTTTTGGTTCTTCTTTCTCTGCAATATTTAACCCTCAGAAATATTCATCCACCTTGGAAACACGGGACCAAGAACCAAATCTCGCGGATGTCACTGCTAAAATCCAACTTTTGTTTAACTTATCTATTTCTCAGACTCTTCCCTGAGATATACAAAAATGAAATCCATTTTCGCCAATCAAATTCTCTAAGTGAAGGATAACCATGTGGTTGCAAAAGTACCTGAGATCATGAAACTCTGTATTGCTTCTCGTGACCAAAAGATAACGATCCGACGCCAAGCAGGTGACGGTCATTTCCGCGTAAACTTTACCTTTTGGTGTCAGCATGTGGTTTATGTTTGAGCACCCCACCTTAAAGCAAAGAGCGCATTATAACAAGCGCAGATAGGACATAGCTCAACTTAACTTACCTTCGTTTAGAAGGAAAACTATGGTTTGAGACTATTAAATTGCCATCGATATATTTCCACAACGGAACACACATCGTCAGTTAAGAAAATTAAGAAACTTATACATGATGAAAGCTGAACAGAAAGAAATTGATGGATCGAATGATTTGATCTTCTAGGAAAGGTTAGTTCTGAAAGTAATGCATTCAGTAACAGTGACTGACATTCCGACAATATGGGTGAGAATCATTAACTGGTCAGTTCTATCAGGACGGAATGGTCTGTAAGGCTCAAGTAGCATTCGTCACTAGTGATTGGTCAGTCTTAATGTTTGGAGGATACGTTTGATTCTTTGATTCTTGGTTAAGTAAACGTTCATTTTGACAAAAAAGGTGACCCCTTGTCAAAAAATAATTCTAGTGCCCTAACATTTTATAATATAACGATACTCACTTTAGGCAATTCATTAGCAAAAACCCTATCCAAGAAGTCAGCTGCATCTCTTCCTTTGACCTCAAATTTCCCATAAGGAGTTAGGTCTATGATACCGACTTTACTCAGCACCAAGTCACATTCCCGTCCAACCGGCTCAAACCAGTTTGTTCTTCGAAAACTGGGCTTGAACCCAGGCTCATCCCCCGAGTGCGCAAACCAGTTTGGTTGCTCCCAGCCAGCACGTTGTCCCATCTGCGCTCCTCGCTCGCAAAGTCTCTGAGGAGATAAATAAGGAATCAATGCAAAGAACACACTGTACAAGACGTATATGCTTTGACATTGCTCTTACAAATAATATCACGTTACCGTATATTTATAATCTCAGTTTTGTCAGTATACACTTTGTGACATGATTGCAAAGGCGAAAATACTCCAATATTGCTATCAGAGAGGGCGTCATTTGTATACCAAAGTTAATCATAACCATTACAAATTCCTCAAATATGATTGGTGCATTCGCAGCTTCATTTACACTTATCATTCGGTACAGTTGTAATCGGACAGTTGGCTGTAATCGGACACCTGTAATCGGACAGTTGAAACAGCCAATCATGCTAAGTCCACTCAGCGAATCCACCAATCAAAGAAATAATCAAATAACCATAGCAATAACAAAGAAAAACTGAGGAATTTCCAAAATGGAGGAATTTTTAACTATAGACATTGTCTCCACTGGAGACATCTGTTCTAGGTGTATTTGAAATGGCTATGGTTAATAGGTAACAAGACTTATTGGCGTCCAATTCTGTCTGTAATCATACTCGTAATTAACAAATCGGACTCCCATTTCGCGGTCGTCCGATTTTGTCAATCTCTGTATGATTAAAGATCGAATTGGACTCCACTTGGTTCCTACCATCATCAATCACCTTCGTAAAACAACAAGTACTCTTTTTTACATTTTTGGGAAATTCATAATTTCTTAAAATGTCTCTAAAATGTTTTTCAAAAAGATCCTCGACAATTTCAGTTTCGAGTCTTCTCATATTTCCATCCTCTAGTTTCCTGTAAACAGTCTATCTCTCTCTCGCAAGGCCTAACACCGCTATCTACACAGGCTAGGTAATTTCTGGTCAAATTTCAGTTACCTTATATATCCCATTAGTCCTCACAGGGCGCCCAGCCCACCTCTCTAACTTAGGATGCATTATCTGATTATTCAAACCGTACGTCTCTCGACACTTTGCTAATACGTATTCCCTGGAGGCCCAGTTTCCATAGCGACCAGGCTCACATTCAATAAGGTCGAACGGCGGTTCTCCATCGATCATCCAATCAGAGAGATATTTACCGATCCCACCTGAGGAAAGAAGAATGCAGCGAAGACATAGGAAATGAAAATAAAATCAAAACACGAAGTTTAAGGGACTGGCTCACGCATGCGCAGGCTGCACAATTTAAGTTGATAACCATCAGGTTAGACTATAATAGTTACACAATAATAAGCCTCAATAATGACTATAGACAGCTGTAGGTTTCAATGCAAATGCACTTTACGCTGCCGCTAAACAAGTCATTTCCCTGAGTTTTAGCTTCATGATTTCAATCCATATGGTTTGTTTCTGCTTTCAGTTCTGATTGTAATTAAAATAAAGGCAACATATAACAAAATCGAGGTTTTTCTCTGAAGCAAGAGCTCTGATGATTTTGAACGGCGCAATAATGTTTTACATAGAGTTGTTACTTTATTTTGTTTCATCTCGTTTGCCGATCGTCATTTACCTGCGAGACCGATCCCGTAACCTGTCCCGAGAGCTAGCCACATGTTAGGTACCTTTGCATCGGGACCAAGTAAGGGAATAGCGTCTGGCGCGTAAGTTATAGGTCCTGAAACAGTACTTGTTATTTCAGCATTGGCAAGCACTGGTGTTCTCTTCATTGAGTTGGTTATGTAATCACTGATGTTGTCTACATCACTTTCAAATAACTCCTTTCCAAATCCCTCAGGGACACAGTCCCACCTTAAAGAAAAACAACAACAAAATAAAAAACAGCATGCCATTTTCTCGTAACCCTGCAGAAGAAGCGTCATTATATGTTATGCATTTTCAGGCAGGCGGAGGGAACACGAGGCGAGCGCGCGGAGCGAGGCATTCGCAGGGGATGCAGCGCAAAAGAAACACCATTCGGCGCTTTCACAGTGTAATTCAACTTTCATGCTCTTCTTCCCCTATTCTCGTGTTCGACTCGCGCGCACCTCGTAATTTCCATCGCTTGCCTGAAAACACAAACAAATGATGCCTGTTCTGCTGCAGGCTATTTAAGGAGAGCACAAGTGACACAGGTGCGTAGTAACATACGATTTCACTCGCCCATGTTGATATTTCGAAATTGAATTCAGTTAACGCAAGTTTTATAGATAATTCAGACAAACAATTACATTTCTCGAAGCCAAATGACATTTACTCTGAGTTACACTTGAGCTATTCAGTATTTATCCCTGATTAGAAGGAAATATGACAACACTGATTCCAGTTGGTTTTAATCTTACACTAACAAATATGTCGTCACCTCACAAAAGGTAAACACGATTCGTGGTGGTTAAGGTCCCAATTGAGCACTTTTAAAAGTTGCTAAATAGCTTGAATTGCGATAGTTTTTCTCAGGATCGAATTTTAGATGATTATTAGAATAAAAATGAGCTGACGTGTTTGATTCTCACCATCCTTCTTCCATTTTCATTTTGTCTGCGCTTTCATAAGGACCAAACAAAATGCCTTGCTTTTCCTGACGAGTGTAGGTTGAACCCTCCAGGTCCCTCATAAAAGGAAGCTCCTTCTTTAAACTTGCCACTTCAGGGATAGGCCCCGTCACAAGAAACTGGTGATGAACCACACCCAAAGAAAGTTCAGTTCCTACCATGCGACCAATCTCTCTGCCCCAAAAACCTCGAAACAAAAAGACGATGTCGCTTAACCCTTCAAATCCCAAGATTTCATTGGTAATTCTCTTTACTGTCTGTCATACAATTCATACGATGCTAGTTTGGAGAATCTGGAATTGAATCAACTAATAATCCCTTAATCCCTTTTTCTCATTACCTGTCTGCTTGATATCGTACTGATAGTGTAAGGAGAAATTCTGTCTAGATCACTAGTGAGACTTAGAGGTTAAGAGCGCTACATCTCAGGCGACTATTGACGTCAAAGAAAACAGATTACCCCAAAAATGTTCATGTAATACACGCATCAACATATAATTACCAGCTGCATTAACAACATGTTTAGCTCTAATTGTGCCGTGTGGTGTTTTCACATCCCATCGTCCATCAGATCTGAAGTTTAGCCCAGTAACTGGAGCTGGCATGTATATCTCGGCCCCGTACATCCGCGCCCCTTTCGCGAGGGCTTGTGTCAAGGAATATGGATCAATGTAGCCATCCTCTGAAAGGTAAATTTGCGATCTTTTTGTCATTTATTAAATTCAACGCAAGATGTATCTTTGCAAACACAGCTAATTATTATCGGACAGTCAATGTATGTGACAGAAAAATGTATGAAAGGAGACTAGGTAGGGGAAGGGAAAGGGGAAGGGGAAGGGGAAGGGGAAGGGGAAGGGGAAGGGGAAGGGGAAGGGGAAGGGGAAGGGGAAGGGGAAGGGGAAGGGGAAGAGGGGGGCGGAAGACGTTGGTGTGATCACATAGTTTCAGAGGGTACGGGGCGGGAATCAGTGGTTGCCAAAATAAGTAGTCAGGGTGACTATAGAGATTTGAACGTCAACTAACCGCCAATGGGGGGAAGGGGGGGGAGGCGAAGTCATAAGAATTTTACAGAGCCTCACGGGGGGATCAGGTAAACTTTATCATGACTCAATCAAAATCCTCCTACCCTCCAGGGGAGAAAAAGATGACTGCTCCCTGAATAGCCTAGCTGGAAATTTTTTGTTTCCGATTGTATTTTTCTTAATTTCCATTCTCTAGCGTGTTTTTAATTATCAGAAGCAAGAAACGGTGTTCAACCTGTCCTAGCCATTGTTACATTTTCGCGACTTTAATACACACCAGGGAAGTACAAAGCTCCCAGGACGTCATCTACATACAGAAGAGGATGCAATCGGGCTACTTCCTCTGTCGTAATTAATCTTTGTGGTGCCTTCATCCAACCGTGCCTTTGCATCTGATACTTTGCCTCTTCTAGTCTCTCGGGCGTTGTACAAATTCTAATGCTGCCGCACATGTGAAACCCGACGTCCTGTATATGAATGCGTTTAAGATTATAATGCGGTCTAAGAATTTAACTTTAGTAGCGAGAGAAGTAGTGTCTGCATGGTCGGCCCAGTCATTTGCGTTTGTCTAAGCTAAGACAGTTTAATCTCATTGTGTCTTTAACCACTGAAATTAATAAAAGTGAAAATTAGGTAGGCCCTATAAAATACTGGGAATTGCAGATCTGTGAAACACTAATATCCCGGCGTCCAGAAGAAAAAGCAGTGCTCATAACTGCTTCCCGTGAAGACAGCCGGAAGGAGCGCCGGAATCGATGACGTTAACAACTAGGTCTCTTTCAGCCCTTTAACTCCCATGAGTGACCAAGAAAAAATTTCTCCTTACAATATCAACACAATATCAAGCAGATAAGTGATGAGAATAAAAAAAAAATATAAAATAGGGGACTATAAGTTGATCCAATACCAAATTCTCCAAACTAACATCACAAGAACTATAGGTAGAAAGTAGGAAGAATTTCTAATGAGATCTTGGGAGTTAGAGGGTTTAAAAGACTTATTCCAAAAGGCTAACTTAGTCTTAAACTAGCAAAAAGTTAGAAGTTACGATGACGTAGCCGTTAATTCATCTTTCCATATCATGGCAGTGCTTTGCAAAATTTACTCTATAAAAATTCATTTCGGGTGGGAAGGGATATATAATAAATATACTTTTGATTATATTTTGTGCAACCTATACCTCTTTTTCAATTTCACTGAGCATTGCTTAAATGGATAAGTGTTGCTTTGCTTTTCAGCCGTGACATATGCTATGGGAATGAAAGGGGAATTACGAACGGGACAACACAATCATCTGCTGCACTGAGGAAAGAGAAGATCGTGCCCAAGAACCTGTGTTCCCCGTTAGACCCTCTTCCTAGGTTAATTTCCCTTAGGATATATTCAAATCTTCTCGACCTTCTCAGTTCCCGCAGATCCCAGAGGAATCTAGAAATGACTACCTGCAGGTCGCTAATTTTTCCCAGGTTCTCATGCGACGTTCGTTAACAAAACCTTAAAGTAACACACACTGGATACTCATAATACTATTCTTGCGAGACTATAGTGATAAGTCATAAGCTAAGCCAAGACAGATTATCTTCGGGATATGGGCTCTGTGGAGAATTCCGTCTCTCTGCTATGTCTTCTTTCTATGTCAGCTTTAACTCTAAAGTAACATTATTTAAATTGTCCTTATGATCAGTCTGACCTGTCCAGTTTCCTGTCCAAGCTGTTTGTACAAGGACATGCTGTAATGAGTTAGAGGCTTCATGTTCACCACTGGATTATAGTGAGACGTAACACCGACCTGGAAAAAAGGATAAAGGGTGTTTGAGAGAAACGTCTCGCTATGTTGCTTTTCTAGACAGCGTAGTACATAAACTCCTTTACAATAGCTTGAAATATCGCCTCTAGCTGAAGACGACAAAGCCTCTCGTATTGGCAACCTAATTCTTAATTCAATAACGATAAATCAGTCGTGTCAACATCTCTCTTTTTAGCAATCCAGTTCTTTAAGATTATCCTCATCCATACATCTTTTTTTGTGCATTTCCTTTTTTACATCAATAAATTGTCCTTACCATCCATCTTGAGAACTTAATGCTTACAAATGGCATTTTCGTTTACTGTAAAGCATTACCGAGTGCCAAGTTGAGCCAGCTGTGAGTTCTGACTTTTCTAATAAGATCACATCTTTCATTCCAGCTTTGGCCAAGTGATAAGCAATACTCGTGCCCAGGACTCCCCCGCCGATAATAACAGCCTCAGCATCGTCTTTCAGTTGTTTACTTAGCTTTTTTTTACTACAATGCAAGAATACGATAAAGACGGATACATAAGCAACAGACCTGATAATTCATTTACCTTTCCTAGAGACTTCCGTTCTTAAAGGGAAAAGTACTGCGGGCGAAATCATGTAGCGCATTGGAAGAAACCGGAAAGCACACTCCGACATCCGTCAGAAGGAGGTCATCTCGGGTAGATTTCCGATTACGAAATCCGAGCTCGCCCGATGTTGTCTTCGTGATGAAGGCCCTATTTAGCATATTAGACCCGCAAAACAGAGTAGAAACGAACACGTGCTTCGTTTTCGCTCATGACTTCGTATTAGGCGTAAGATATTGCTTTTTTTTTTCGTTGCTTACCTTTATTACAGACTCCACAAAATTTTTGCGATGCCTCCTTTTCACGGATGGCCGATTACAACTACAACATAGTAACACCTCCACGAAATCTGTCAAAAGGAGGATTTTAAAACACCGGAAATGGAGAGGGAAGATGAATGATACGGTCGATTAACTCCCAGACAATTGAATGGTCCAAACTAGTAAAGGCGGGAAATTTGTTATCGTGCGAGAGATCAAAGTATCTGTTTGCTCACACAATTCGTATTCAGCGTTCGGCCGTATTCCAATCGATAATTAAGTCTCCTTCTCGTTGTGTGAAATGTTGTAGCTGCAAGGAGTTTTTTCACAGGAAATGCATTTCAACAATTATTTTGGAAGATTCAAGTGCAAACTGGCGTTGTCCAAACTGCGAAAGAGCCCTTAAGCAGGAAGAGAAAAATAACCATTAATTTAACATGTAGTATTAAAAACTGATTCTCAGAACTTCCCATTAGTTGTTTATTAAGATAATCGTCGAAGTGAAATATATATGTGTAGTAATTTTTTATCTATTTAGAAGTCGGCTAAAAGAATTTTTAAAATGTATTCATGAGAAACTGTTTCTTATAGATCTTTCCCTAAGTAAGCTCTTGCGTTTAGAATTGAAAATCCTCATCTAAATATTGTAAAAAATATTATCGTAGAATATTTTCAATGATGATCATGGCACAACGCAGATAGAGAAAATGTAATAGGTGAGACAAGTCACGGATTATCCTTGTCGACAAAAGTAATATCGCCTGCTACATTATATTCAAACTTGATCTCCGTCCAATCGAGGTAATGTACAATTTTTTTATCAATTACCATATTAGAAATAACAATATATCGCTTAAACTCTGAACGTAACTGCGTTAAATTTATTTCATCAGAAATCCAGAAGACTTCCGGTGTTTTAAAATCCTCCTTTTGACAGATTTCGTGAAGATGTCATTACGTTGTAGTTGTGATCGGCCATCCGTGAAAAGAAGGCGTCAAATGTATTTTGTGGAATCTGACATATAGGTTAGCAACGGAAAAAAATGCAAATATCTTAACGCTAATACAAAGTCATGAGCGAAAACGAAGTAAGTGCTCCTTTCTACTCTATTTTGCGACTCTAAAATGTGAAATAGGGCCTTCATGAAAACATCGGGCGAGCTCGGATTTTGTTATCAGAAATCTACCCGAGATGACCTCTGGTGATGTAACATCCTCCTTTTGACAGATTTCGTGGAGGTGTCACTATATTGTAGTTGTAATCGGCCATCCGTGAAAAGGAGGCATCGCAAAAATTTATTGGAGTCTGTAATATAGGTAAGCAACTTTCTGACGGATGTCGGAGTGCGCTTCCCGAAGAAACCAGGCAGGACTAAACAGTGGTTTCTTTTACATATAGTCTCCGCTGACCTAAAACACACGGGCTCTGGTCATAGAAATGTGAGCTGATGTCAAGCCACCTCGCAGCTTTTAATTTCTCTGCGGGTGATCTTTTTTTCTATTTTCAATCTCCTGGATATTTAATCGCTCAAATTATTTTTTTGTGAACTATTCAGCTGGATAGGTCAGTTAGTCTTGCTGAACCATAAACGAAATGCACTCACTTAGCGCCGCTAAGTGACCGGGTCTGTAACCATATTTATACATAACCATTTGCAACTCTTTAGCAGTTCGACCTTACATACAGCAAAATTGTTCGAATGCAGTAAATGTAGCCAATAGTGTACTCAATATTCAATTTAATAAGGCCAGTAAACATTTGCTGATCCCACCAAGGTCACTTGAATATGGCACTAATTCCCTATTGTTATCCGAGCTTATATACGATAAAAGAGGCTCACGATATTTTATTTAACGATGTAAAAAAAATTACACACGATTTGCGCTGCAACTAATCGAAGAGTTGAAAATTGTAGTCAGTGCTCAAATCACTAAGGCCTGTAAACAAACTCTCCTTATGTTTTGCTGCCCCAATCGTTGAAAGCATGGCTGGTATCTAGTTATTTTCTAGTCTCCTAAAGGATTAGACTGTTTTACCTCGAGTCTTGAGAAGAAGATATCCAGCCGATGCGACCAGTCGACACAACTCTTGAGTCAGCCTTCCTATACTTTGCTGCCAACACAGCACGATATATCGGGGTCCAAGACGTACGAGAATGTAACAAGCTTGACATGACTAACAACATAGCAAAGACAGTGCCATGCACTTCAGTATATAAATGTCAACAGCCACAAGAATTAGAAGGTTGCTCATCTTAGTCGATCTTTGCATTCAACTGAACAAAGTTATACATGAAAGTCAGACATGTAAATGAGACAATCCCAGTTGTGGCGGTCATGGCATAAGTTACACAGTATATACCGGTCATGGCATAAGTTACACAGTATATACCGGTCATGGCATAAGTTACACATTAGAGCAAACTGGGGCATTACAAAAATATATAATTTTCAGTACGTACGTTTCTGCAGAATTACACTTTCAAAAAATGACTGGCGATAGCGGTACCAAGGCAATGTCTTAAAAGCTTTTTCCGAACCGACTACGACAGTAGAGTAATCAAACTCTTTAAACCAAGTTACATGCCGAGCTTTGCGACGGGAAAAAAATGCAAATTAGCTAGTGCAGCCAGCTAATTTGCATAAGTAATTCAAGCCAAAGTTTGACCTCTCCGGCATGAGGTCACTGCCCACGGTGTACACACTCTGATTGCGATGCATCATCCTGTCGCGGTCGAGTGAACATGTTTGGTGGCAGCAAGGTAGCATGGACAAAGTTAAAGAGTGTTGCTGGGCCTGTGGGACTCCTGTCATCTTCCGTGACTGTAATGACTGAGACATTTCAGTGAGTCATTTATGACGTGTACCGCTGGTAACATGTTTTGCAGTCACAATAAGAAAGCACATGGTCTGCTTTGAAGTTTTAGCTTTCGCTATGATTATTGTACAAGATTTCTTTTTGTATTAGCGGAACAAGGCACGAAAAAACTTGTTAGTATCGATCGGTTTATATTTAGCTTTCCTTTCGTTTGTCATTCGGTTGTTATTTTGCATTATTCAGCGGATTTATACATTTAATTTCAGTGAATCGTTGTTCATGTAATAAAAGAAGTTTGCAGTTCAGCGCATCTCAAGTTTACCTTGTTGCCGCCTTCCAGTAGCGAACATTGGGTTCCTAGACTGACGAGATTCAGAAAGAATCGAAACTGCAGTCTTGCCTAAGGATCTACACAAATGGCAGCAGTTACATGCTCAGCCGATGGCTTTGTGAATAATAACAAATTCAGAAAATACATTCCTAGACGCGAGTTATAAATTAAACGCATTACAAAGAGACAGAGACCTTCTAATACACGAACTTTTTTTCATGTCATCCACTTGGCGTAAATACGGGATTGTAAAAGAGGAAGTCATTTGCCTGCTAAGAACGAATTCATCACGAATTGTGTGTCACGCTGCAATTCTCGTTCGAAGAAACCGGAGTAGATCATTGAAGGCAGGCTTCAGCCAAGACTACTGAAATAGTGTCATCTCAGTTTCCTGAAATTTCATCACCCTCATAGTAAGCTAAATGACATTTTACAGAATCCAACGGAAATATAAATGAGACTAAAGGTAGTTGGTAGAAATTTCACCCTTGGAGCTTTAAACCATCCCGAAAAACAAACGAACGAATAAACAGACCGTGTAAAAAACAAAACAACAAAATAAAGGAACAACAACAACAACGAAAACAGATTTAATCTGATTTAATCCACGTCGCATTCAGGCGTCACAGCCTTATACGCAAGACTGATCTTTGATGAGTAAATAAAAAATCAGCCAAAATTTTTTAATAAACTAAGCAGGGTATACATCAAAAAGGGCGAGAACCTCACATGTTTCTTACATTGTTCCGATTTATTACTTTAGACTGTTAAAAACTTTAGTAGCAATCTGCTATTTCATTATTTATCTCTCTTTTTGGGGCGCCTACGTTTTTTCTCCTAAGGTGTACGCTTTCTTTTGAAGTTTGCTTGGGACCTTGTATGGTTTCAAAGTTTCGTCATTTCGGAAAAGACAAAAACCCACCAGTTTATGCAAATTGCGCCTCGGTTTCAACCGACTCAATAAAAAAGGTTATGAAAGATAATGAAAAAAAAATTTAGAATTCTCTTCGAGCACAACCGGTCAAGCATAATGTTACCCGCTGTACGTCGACGAATAACATCAAGAGTTAGCCTATATAATGTGATACCACCCATCGGGGCACCTATCTATAATTTTGAAAACTATCACGAAAATGTTTGGCTCATTTTACAACAAATCAAGGAAATGGAAAAGGCAATTTCACAGCAGAGTGTGCGAAAATTAACTCCTAACCAAGAATTAGATTTTCTTGCACTGATTTTGGAGAAAAGGGAAGAAGACGACGTTGTGATCTCTATTAACGACAGTGTGGAAAACGAGAAATCTGATTTTTTCCACGATCCATCTAGTTCAAGCGATACTGAGGTGGAATTTAGTCTTGCCGGCGCCGTTCAGAATCCTAGATTTCGTTATTCTACATCGGACCAAGAGGCGTTATCCGATGGCGAATCTTCGGGTGTGGCGTTATCTTCGAGAGCTGCTTCAGGTGACTCCATTTCAGGAAATGTATCCAGCATTCAAGAGTCTAATGGAGGACAGGTTGGAAAACAGAAAATGACGAGTTGAGACAAATCCGCATGAAATGAAACCACTCTTGCAATGATAGATGGCTAATATACCAAATAATCCTAATGTTTTATCAATTGTCTCATTTCTGAAAAATTAAACCATGTACGAGAGAATCGGATCTTACCTAATATGTTTAGGTTAAATAAAGATGTTTTGCCCACCAGAAAGCAGTGGAAAATTAACAAGCCTCTGAAGTTTGCGTCGCTTACGAAAAAAATACTCAACACTATTCCTCAAGAAAAATAATTGCTTTTATCACAGGCGAAAAAACTCAAATTATCAAACTCTCACACTCGACGCCCGTAGCTAACATTTCAGGGGGAATCAACGATTTAGAATGCAACGGCGTATGGATCGTGAGCGAAAAGAAATTTCCTGCGGGCGGCGAAATGTCTTAAATCTGTCAGGTCCTCAGTCAACTGTAAATTCCTTAAGGTCCGTTTATGGATAAGCTAATGAAGATGTGGCTGCTGACACGCTGACCAGCTAACATAGAAAACCCCATACAAGGAACAGACTCTGTGAGGGGGAAGGAACACGAAATAGCCTCATTTACCGTTTCATTTAAAGAAAATAATAAAATTCCATCAGTATTAAAATTTGCAATATTTCCAAGTTTTCCAGTTACATCAAGACCTGAAAGACAATCCTACAAAGTAGCAACAATAAACCTCTTTATTTATTTCCTTTCTATTTAAACAATATCTCTAATTGATAATTAGTCCTTAATTCTCATTATCTATCTATTCGCTTGTCTATATTGACAGAAAAAACATCTAAAATCGAGTGTGAATGGGTCGAGGTAAATGGTCAACACTAACTTCCCTCGCGTCAAACATCCCACGGAAATAAAATGACCCCTTGCATTTAACCTGCTAATGCTTAGTCAGTCTTAGTGCTGTGACAATGGTAAAAATTGAAGTGACACAATGGTGGGAGAGCCAAATGTTTCCTTTACTCTGTGACAGAGCTACAAGGCTACTTCCACTTGTTTTGAAAGACCACACGTCACCTCGATATACCAAAGTCGACTTTAATTCAGAATCCACGCGCCAGAAGTACTTGGTCTGAGGCTCCAGAGTGGTCTTCAGGTGTAGGACATTCCCACCATCGACGACCGATCCAAGGTACTCAGAGGAGTGGCGCGAGGCGCTGCTAACCCTCTCCTTATCGGTTCCCAAATAAACATGATGGACAGACGCTCCGTATCCATTCAGCCACATAAGAGTGTCCCTTCGATCTGGTCTTATCTTTACATTATTGTCAGGGGGGACAGGCGTGCTTGCCTTATACAACTGCCGTCCCGGTATCCAGTAGTGCGTGAACGCGGGGTTATAGCTGTAGGGTCCAACGTTGTGCTGTATATAAGTAGAATTGGAAAGAGGTCGAAAATCGAAGTTATCTGGATCGACCAACTGATCTGTAACTTTTCCAATAACGTTGAACTTCACAACACTCCCGGCCAAAGGATACAACTCTCCCCCGTGTTTGCCACCGTTTGCCTTATCAGCTCCGTTGAATAAAACTACAGTTCCGTTGTTGATCGGAACAGGGTTTTCGCGAACATAACGTAAAACACACAAGGAACATTTATCACCTTGGTGGTCACCGTCTCTCTCATTTCTTTTATCAAACACCAGGTTGTGTTGCACTGTGTGATTGTCTCCTTTTACCATCATGCCATTACATTTCCACACCACGTTACTATGCATTGTTCCATCACGTCCAACCGGCAGAGGTGGTTGTCCGTCAAATCTCACCCCATACTTAGGACTAGAATGCACCCAATTTTGCTGGAGAATTGCATGAGTTTGCGATTTGATTTGTACTTGAACGTGACTGCCGTCATGCTGAAAGGTTATCAAAAAACAAAGTGAATGAGCACCGAAAGATAACGTAGACAAGAAATTCATCCAACCCTACCATATGTCAAATAAAAGACTAAAGCACTTCAAGACTGCAGAATATTATGGGTGGGGGCATATGTTTTTAAATCATAACAGCGACTATATGTGATCGCAGATCCTGCCTAAGGTTCAAGTACCGTGAAAATGCAACGTACTGCACTTATCAAAAGTAATCGTCAAGCTGCCTAGAATTTGAATGAAATTAATCCTTTTTTATATCTATTAGACTGCATTCATCGGAATCAAATGTCTTAAGGACTTTCACCAATCAAAGCTCCATTATTATGGCGTCAAACTCAAACCACAGGTGACGCCAGGTTCAAAAATGTAACCCTTCCTACGGCGGTAGTGGGCGAGCGCTGTCACTTCTGGGCAACCATGATGGAGACAGTGATTTCGTTCCCCATGATAATGTACCAATTGAAATACGTCTGGCAAGGAAAAGAGAAGTAGTTACCTGTATAGCACCCCAGCATTGATGATGCAAATGGTTAAGCCGCACTGTAGGCCGCAAACCAGGTCTTATGCCACTGCTGGCTCCGTTGTACCGCAAGGTGTTTCTCACAAAAATGTCGCCAATACCTCTAGAAATAATCGTGCCTAGCCCTCCACTCTTGTAAACCGTGTTTGCTGCAGTCCAGTCGTTGTATTCGAACAAGTTGTTTTCCAGAGTCGCATTCAAACCGCTGAACTCTAAGGCGGCGCCATCGGTACCATAGAAAGTGTTGTTAAAAACCGTTAATGTATTGAAGGTAACTTTCTTCGTATTCGCGTTCATTTTAGTCCATTCAGCAGGAGCAGTGTCACCAAGCATTCGTCGTGTATACGACGGGTAGCTGAAGATGATCGAGTGGAAAGTCAAATTATTCACTGCATTCTTTTCATCCATTGTGGAAGCCCGTAGCGCTGTCCCAAAGAACTTCAGCTTTTTAAAAACCACGTGACTACAGTTGGTAATGTTAAATGCGTACGTCATAACCTTCCCTCTGACGTCACGTCCTTCTGGGGATTTGCCATCTGCCGTCATTACAAATAGTGTTCTAGTAGTTTTGTCGTAAAACCACTCCTCGGGTTGGTCAAGAAATTCTAACTTGTCTTCAAGGAAGTATTGATTGGCTCCAGGAACGAACTTTATTCGACCGAATGTGTCCTTGTACGTGAATGATGCATTCCCGGGCTTGTGGCTTTGCACTATGGCTGTGAAGGTATTAAAACTTCCGATGTTAAGAACTGCCATGGCACCCGTTGCGTTCAGACCGCTTCCAGCCAAGTCCTTTGAGCCATCATCGACCATAACACCTCGTGTGGACAAGGTGGACGACTTCGCCCAGTAACTGGCGTTGAATACTGTCTTGTTGGACCACAGTGCGTTTGGCCAGCGTGCATTTGTCATCATCTCGCCGTCGATAAATAACTGCCAAATGTCTTGGTCTATGACAGCCTTAAAAGCGCCACTGTCATCTTTCACCCATTCTCCCTTTGGCTTTAGTTGGACAGTACCATCAATGATCGGATATTCGTCTAGGATTCCCCGTATGATGATTGGTTTTTCAGGGGTACCATGTTTGTTCGTGACAGTCACGCGTTCTAGGTAACGCCCTCCAGGAATAACGCATTCATCTCCCGGGGCAGTAAGCTGGTCAACACACGATTGAATGGTTGTAAATTTCGACCGAATGGTTGAAAATGCGGACGAGCCTCCACGAGTACAACCAATAAACAGACTACTCACACAAAAAAAACATAGTAATGAATTCTGACTTGTACCGCGGGCCATGATTTCCTGAAAGAAAACAAGATATTTTACTGACGGTACGTTAATATAAGGTGGTTAATTGTACTTGTCTGCCCGTTTTACACTTTCATACTACAAAATAATGATTTCACCATGTAAAGCAAATTGTTTAATTTTTCAAAAAAGCGAAGAAAACGCAACGTTTTTGTCTATCACCAAAATCTCTTAAAGTTACCTCGGTGATGAGTCTGTTTCGACCGAACCCCTGGGTACTTTTAAAAAGTAATTTACCAAATAGAGTCAGTGCAGGTAATTTATGTCTTATTGTGCAATTGCGCTCATGCGTGCATTTGGTTTCAAGTTTCAAAATTCATTAAAATAAGAGAAAAAAAACCTATACGCGATATTTAATACTGAGTACGGTAGATATCTCGTCCAACCAGACTGCATTATCATCCTTCTTCTGAGGAACAAAACCGAATCGGTTTTTTCTGAACTAAAGAATGATCCTTAGCCGGTTATTCTAACATGGCCATCGGTCCTTCCTATGTGATTTAAAGAAAACTTTTGCGCTGAAAATGAAAATAAGACACTCTTCTCTGGATAAAAGCTTTAGTTTCTAAATGGGCCCCAGAATATACCCTGATGTAAACATTCCCCTATATTGTGATATCTTGTGACAGGTAGAGGATCCGAGTTGTGTAACATCTGACCATATGTGAAGGGGCAAATGTGTCACAAACACAGTTTTATATCTTTAGTAATAGTTACCTTCGATTTTCGGTGGAAAGCAAGTGCATATCAAGAATGATCGACCTGACTTACAGATTCTTACCTCTGTGTCGTTGTTCGTCGATAGGTTCAACGATGAACCAGTCGCGAACGATGAAGTTCCACGCCCGTTCGGGGGTCTGGGAATGAATGAGTGACTGCATGACCAGTGTATAATTAACCAGGGTCACGCGATCTTATCAAATTTCATCACTGTTTAAGGAGATACGTTTCCCCTTATTTCAATCCATTGTGTACAAACTGTCTGCTGCTGACAGTTGTGATTCATAAGGTTAAAAATCTTTTTTCAGATCAGACCTATCAAATAAGTTGACAAGCACTTTTAAGTTTCCACAAAGATAGTCATATTTGGGGGTTAAAGCTCTACATCAAAGACAGTACTTTCTTTTCATGTGGGCAGTGGAGAGTGGGCAGGGAGGGGGGGGGGGCAAAGAGAGTGAGAGCTAAAGAGCAATATGCTATTTGCTATGGGGTCCAAAAACTCCAGTTTAAGGCATTAACCCAGTACACAATAATTAATCACATTAACACTTTTGATGCCACATAAAGTCTCAAACTACAGACACATTCAATTTCTTGTTATTCATCCTGGATCTTTAATGGACTCAAAGCCACCTACAACACTTTGACTAAACAAAGCTTTTGTTCAGTCATCAAACTCTAGCAGTCTCAGTTTCTAATAAATAGCTATTCAAAGTTAAATACACTCAAAGTGCTCAAAAAAATAATACAATATTTATGGCTCCAACTACGATGACATTGTTCAAACACTGGGTTACCATAATTTATGCACTACAATAAGCTCTATTAATAATCTTCCAACATTTTTCTATCCCAAGATCCAAAAGGAGTCAAAGTTCGTGTAAATCCCAATGGGCCAGAGTGTTAAAACCTTACATCAAATAAGAACATTACAGCTAAAACTAAAAAATTATTGATTACAAAATTGGATTACTCTAATTTTCAAATTGGCAAGCAGGCAATTTTTGATGATCCCCAAGAGGAATGCAAACAAGCAGTTAGCCTGATAATCACCTGAGAAATTCTACTGAAGCAACTATCCTCCTTGTATTCAGTGAATGTTGTTGAATAATCCTGTCTGCTTTATCTCAGGAATTATTTGAAAAAAAATCACTTTGCCTTTGGGACATGAATGTTGATTACAACAAACAGTTATTGAAAATTAAGTTTACAGTCTGAAATGGTACAACACAGGATATCTTGTAGGCCAATTCAAAGTTTTTGGATTTTTACACCTATGATTATGCACTACTTGAAAGTTGTAACCTGAAGTTGTTGAGGAAAAACACAAATTTACAGCTTCAAAAGAGTATATCCTTGTTTACACTACCAACGCATTCATACATGTAAGTGAAAACATTACAATGTACAAAAGATATACAGCTTTAAGAAAAAGCACAAGCAAAAGGATTAAAGAAATTTGATCCTGACATTTGTATTTCTCAGTGTTATTCTAGAATAGAGCATGCATGGTAATCCAGAATTGTTTTGTTTTTACTTCACTCTCTGATTAGTCTAGATAACTCTCATAGTAGGAACTTGAAGTATATCAGGACTGTTACATCTTTTTCACTATGTTTTCAAGTATTTGCTATACAGCAAAATTTTTATGACTGATAGTGGTAAAAAGCTAAGTTTGTCTATTAAGACTATGCTTGCTCTTATAATTGCAAATCTAGTGAAAACCAGGCTTTACACCAAAGGGGGTGCTGAATGATAAAATCCAAGACATGTTAGATGCATTAACTCCTTAATTTTGTTTCAAATATTACCAGGTACAATTTGGGACATTAAAATGTTGCTTTAGAGTTGCATGACTCTCAGAGGTCCTTGCTTTCTTGAAGATACGTTTTCTTGTAATTTGTCCCATCTCCTGGCAAAGGTGAACTTACAGTGGGCCAGATCCAAGCTAAATACCATTTCTCTCCAAAAACGTCCAAGAAATTTTGCTTCCAGCCGAGGTCATATTCTTTCTTTTTCTTCTTTCTCTCATACGAAGTCTGACCGCGAGAAATGATTCTAATCTGAAAGAACAGCATGCCACTAAAGAGAATGAACGCAAAGATGGAAAGCCCCGTCATGAAGGAAATGAAAAATCCGTAAAGAGTCGTGTATCCTAACATCCACATCAAGATTGGAGTGACCATGGTGAGTACTGTTGCAACGCTGAAACTGCCGATTTCCGACGTCACATATTCGTGATGAAAAGCATTGGCATAAAAAGCTCCTAACCAAAGGTACAACGCTAGAAACATGTAATAGCGATAGTTCCTGAAGCCGACACACTTTCCGGCAAAAATACAGTGGTGATCTCGCTTCAAAACACATTCGTTGCAGACTTGGCAATGATGGGCTCTTGGAGGTGCGTTCAGTTGACAGAATGGACAATAAGTCCAGCCGGGCTTCAATACGGACGGCATTCCCAGATTCTTTCCTGTTGTATCCGTTGTGATCAGAAAGAAAAAGTTGGCGAACACATTCAACCACAAGAAAAAACCGCAAAACACGTGTAAACACCACCATGACGAGAAGGGTTCGTGGTAAAGCGGTAGGACAACAAATAGTTCAAAGAGTGCAATTACCCAAAGCATAACAATCATGAATAAGAATGCTACATAATCGGATGGTTTCTGAGGAATGTACGCTTGCAACCAACTCTTTTTACTCTCCATCATCGATGTAAATTTTAGCTCGACGCTCCGCTCGGGCGAGAGGAAAATCAACGCCTGGACGGTGCAAGGGGTATTCAGCGGACACGCATTTAGAGCTAAAGTTGTTATATAAGCGTCACAGAAAATTGCAGGATATTTCACACGAGAAATAAATGTCAAAAATGACATACACAATGTTTCCCGCGCAAAACGTACAAATTATTCAGCTTCCATAAGGAGTGACTATTGATGACTTATAACACCCCAAGTCAGCCTGCTTTATCTAGAACTAAAAATGCTACCATCTGTTATTGGTGAAATTTTAACGTACAAATAAATGCCGAGTCATGTAAAAAGTGCAGAACATAAATTAAAATAAATACCTGTGTAATAAATGCGTCCACAGAGGTAAATATTATTATTATCATTCGTTATTTTTTTCGTCAGTTATATGCTTTTTAAAATTTAAAAAAAAATCGTCAACTCCAAGGAGTTGATGTCGAAAAGTTTGTATCGACGTCTCCTTTTTTCTCTGAACTTGTAACTGACTTCTCCTGAACTTGAAATGAGCCGTGTCATTCTGAGATTTATACAACATTATATCAAGAGCTAGTGAGGTTAACAACAAGCCACTGTCTGACAAAGGAGCCGGCGTTCCCTCCTCCAAAGAAAACCAGAGTCCAGAGAGCGGTCGGAAATCAAGCCCACGGAAGGGAAGAAGGGGAAGAGGGTGTAGTCACAAGAAAAAATGAAAAAAATGAATGCAACACTAGAGAGGAGGAATTAAATAAAATTATAATTAAGAATATAATGATTGCTTTGCGTTTTATTTGAACTTGTTTAATTACTTTAAATGTAGAGATTAATTATTGTGTTTTGTAACGACTGAATCCATCTTTCGGTAATCAGGCCACTTTTTCCGAGTATCATAGCCAAGAGTTCTCATGACAGGAGCAATTCTGTTGGTATGTTCCGTTAAAGATGATGATAATCTTTCAGACCATTTGTACAGTGCTCTCAAGTTGACAGCTTCTTTCACTTGATCTGTTGACTTTTCGAGGCTAAAAATTATAAAATATAGAAACAAGCATAGGCATAAATAGGAAAAGCAAGAAAAGCGATATGTTTTTTCCCCTTGTTCCTTTCCCCTTGCGCCTTAGGAGTAAGGGCACAGCTTCAGTCTTCCTACAAAACTTTTACCAGAACCACTAGCTCACCAGAGAGCTTTAACTCGTGTCAAATGATCTCTTGGCTCACCAAAACGCGAAAGGAATTTGAACAAGCCAGAGTCGAACAAACGCACAATGATGGGGATAAAAGTATCAAGGGGGCTTCGCAACCCTCCTCAAGCCCTCTCGATAAAAACACAAAATGAGCGGGATCTGAACGATTCAGCGCGTAACTCAATAAAATCAAATCTTCGGGCGCAGTGATTCTTGCGCAAATGGTAAACTTTTAACCGTCAGAATTGGGAAGGATGTCGAGGAAATACTGAGACTGGAAGATTCTCATAACTTCACTGCTGTATACATTAAACACATCAGATATTCGGACGTTTTTTCTGATTGATTAATGGCTGCTTTTACCTGGAAAGGATGACACCTCCTGGTTTCCCTATCATAGTTTCATGATGGATCACTGCGTCATTCCAAGAAACATCCAAAAATTCCAGGATGATTTCCATGCTCTCAGTAGGGAACAGCACCAAATGCTCATAGGGGATTCTCAAACATCTTGACTGACCCAACGCTACACATTGAGCGTTCATCTCACCTGTGGCATCATTCCATGTTCTCAAAAGGATTTCTGGACGGCGATTGTTGACGCCACGAATAACAACTCCTCTCTCCATTATGGAGTGGACAACAGCGCGTCCGTCTCTTACCATGAAAACAAATTTGGATTTGGGAAATATTCTGGCTAGATAGCTAAGATTCCTGAAAGTTAAAGGATCTTTGTTGCACAATCGTGGCGCGGGATCTCCATGTTTAGCAATGATTTCTCCTATCAGCACCGCTACAGCGGAGTCCAAAAGATCTTGGGTAACGCCAGCTTCCTCTCTTCTCTGTTTTTCTTTCTCACTGACAAAGCTGAATATCCTTGAAATACCCATGAGGATTTTCGGAATCACCCTTGTCTCCTGCCCGCATCTGATGTCGGGATGTGCATCTAGCATAGCTCTCATGAGAGTGGTTCCGCTTCGCGGAAAGCCGCCGACAAAAATAAGAGGAGTAGAACGGTCCACGTGATGTAATGGAGGGTGACCATTATTTATCATCGATACAGTGGGGAAGTCCTTGTTTTCTTCATGTTTACAGGACCTCGATAACAGCCTTAATAAGAAGAGGGTCATCAGCGATAAAAGGCCGCATGCGACTGCGAAAAATTTCCAAAGTTTCCGTTGTGACAAGTACATCTTAGCAGTAGTTCAAACATCAAGCGTTTCGATGTCATAAACGTAATTTTAAGAAGTTTGCAGCAGTAGATTTGAAAACTTACCACTATAGCGCAGCAGATTTCAATTAGGCGACCTTTGACAGTGTTGAAATCCGAGCGGCTATGTTCCTTCTTCTCAAATGATTACAATGGACCCATTTGCAGTGGGGTCATTGCATTGAAGTCGAACTGGTGCACAAGACAATAATTAATTTTAACCCATGGACTGAGTCTGGCTACATTATCACCGACAAGAAAAGGTTGTGTGATTCTGATGTGTTCAAAGTTTTCGATGGAATAAACGTAACCTCAAGAGTTCCACTGCAGATTATTTCAAAGGGAATCCAGCTACCGCAGCAGATTTCAGTTGGGCGACCTTTGGCAGTGTTGAAATCTTCACCACTTTTATCTGACCTCTCAAATTAATTCATTTTTCTTCAAGCGTCGTTCTTAAACAAAGCGTCGTCATTCGCAGGAAACCCGTGAACACCTGTCGCTACCCGATCCCGCTAGCGCGGCATAATTGAAACTTCAATTTGTTTAAAGATATTTGCGATATATTTAGAGGTTTTCGTAGATATCATTATACTCCTCAGCTGGAAAGACGTTTATTTAAATTTGTAACTTCAGCTGTTGCTCGGTCACATACTGAGGATTGGATTGCGAAGACAATAGGCAACAGGTTACAACGCTGCACACAACCAAAATACAACGTAAATGTTCTGTCGATGGCTGTTTATTGAGAAAATTCGCTTTAGGGGGCCTTGGCACTGTATCCAAAACACTCCACTTAATTTCCTTGGAAGTTGATTATCTTACGCTTACAGAATGACTCCCGCTTGAAGTCAGACTAGAAAAAAAGTCATAACTAAGAGGGGTTATGGAAAAGAGCAGATCTGTTTGGAGTTGGGGGAAAGTCTTTGAACTGGTAACCGTTTCTTTTCATATTTACTGCATGTGTCGATGTAAGCTTATATTTAAAGTTCCACCCTTTAGCGTGTTCACTCTTTTTTGTTATGTAGAAATAACTACATATGCATCTGCATGCAGCCGTATTTTTATTGGCCAATCTCTTCGCCTTTGCCAAAGTGCACTTCACTTAACTCAAGAAGCTAGAGTTGCTCTCGGCTACGCCTCGAGCAACTCTTGCGCACTTTTCGTGCTCTCCAAACTTACCGTGTGCTTCACATCTTCAACCCGATGGTTAAAAATTGTTTTTCTCGAGGGATTTGTTTGCTGACGTCAGGAGCGTGCACAATAGGAATATGAAGCAGTCGCTCACGGAATTGAATTTGATTAGACAAATTTACGCGCTATGTTATAAACCAGTTTAACCCTCAGTAGAATCAAGTGTTCTGATTGGCTCCTCTTAAGCATCGTTCCCGGTCCCTTGGCGAATTTCTCGACACAATCACATACAAACTGCTTTGTCAATGACGGTAAGAATTTTACTCTTTCTCACTTTAACAAAGCGTTTTATCGAATAAACTATTTAAATCAAAATATACTACAAATATGCAAGTATATCGATAAAAAAAATGTCTTTTCATAATTTATGTTTCACTGCTTTTCAATTTTTGAAGTAAAGAGATATTAAAATTCATATTTTCTCACTTTACCTCTTTACGTTAATATTTCAATAATACTTCTTTTATGTACGATTATAAAATTAAACTATAAAACAACTCCTGGATTCTGATCTCAGTAAAATGTACAGTAAACACATCTGGTGCGCTCAACAGGAATCAAGATCATCTCCTACTATGTATAATACCCTAAATAATGTTTAGAAATCAATTTCGTTTGTTGTAGGGCTGTAACAACAGTATGTATATTAAAGTCAAAAGCTCATGATCAGTAGCACGATCCAGGGTGGCAAAGCATGTTTACGAAAACCATATTGAGCAAAAAAATATATATTTCAAACAAAACACTTTAAAACTTATATATCCTGTTAGATATAGTTAACCTCTTTGTATTAAACCAAAAATCGTGGTAATAGAGGAAGAATTTATTTTTTTATGGATTTTAGTATTCAGAAAAGTGAGGCGAATTCTTATGTAACGCGTAACATAATCTGACAAAGCATCAAACATATTCAAAAATTTCTTACTTAAAAATTTAAAATTTCAAAATAATTTTGACTTAGAAATACACTAGAAACATAGACTTTTCAATAAAATAGTTAAAATTGGAACACTGAATTGTAATATTCGCGCTACGAAACAATTTTCTCGGCGACCGAACATGTAACGCTGTTTATACAATATTGTACTATACTTCATAGTCACCAAGATTTTGTCGCAAAAAAAGCTCAAATCAGTTTAAAAAAATACATACAATAATTCTCAGATGATTTATTTTCTGTATACAAATTTTTATTCCATTTAATTCAAAGACAGCGTAAAAAATCCAAAAAGTCTGAATCGCGAACACATAAAATGCATAGAAAATTTACCTTAAAATTATTTATCCTCATCTCCAAAAGGTCTGTGATAGCCGCGCTTAAAATGAAATTGCTCTTCAACTAGCAGATCTGTCATTCTCAAATTCTAAACTTTCTATCGGTACCAAATGTTCACGAATCTAACTCAATTTAACATCTAAATTTATGTCTTTTTTGAATCGCGAACATATTCGATCTTGGAACAGTATTGTTTGCATTGGTGTATCAGTTTACACGCGCAAAATAGTGGCAGTTTTAGAAATCTTCGCATCTAAACTTCGCTTCTTCCTCGCTTACAACAACCTTGTACATTACATCTAGAGGGGGTATACAACAATTAATTGATATACACCCATGAACAAACGATCGTTTGAGACTGGAAATTACTAGAGAACGTGACTTCTAGCGTGACTTCTTCCGTCGAGAATTTACACGCTTCGCTTGCGAAATATTCAATGGAAAACAAAAAATATTCTGCTGATCAATGGAGAAAAGAAAAAGAAGAAAAAAAGCTTAAACAACAAAGGGAATACTATGAAAGAAACAAAGAAGTTCTTGCACAAAAAGCAAGAGAAAGAATGCGCTTGCTTCGAAGCAAGAAAAAAAACGCGACAGTCGCCGCAGTGAAAACACGCACATCTGCACAAAAGGCTGATGACAAAAGAGCCAACCGTGAGCGGAATGCTGCATCAGCTACCAAGAAGAAGGTTTTGAAGCAAAGAGAAAAAGAGAGGGAAGAGAAAAAGCGACAGCAAACTCGAGAAAGGGTTCGAAAACTTCGTCAGAATAGAAAAGAGTCATCATTTGCGCAACCGAAACCGGAAGTCAACATCACCACACCAGCTTTTAGTTCAAGGATGGCAAAAAAACGTGCAAAGGACAAGGTGTCCCCTGCCTTACCTCAAACCCCCGCAAAAAAGGCTGAAATTCTTCAAAAAGTAGTTCTTACAATAAAAGTTTATGAATAATCTATGTTTTGATGATTTTTTGGTAATTTTATGAAGTTGCTAGTTTTTCCCTAATGTTACGCATTTGTACCCCTGGATCTTGCAACTGATCTCATAACACTTGAAAAAAAAATAGGCGATCCATTTGCTTAACAAGTATATTAACTTTTTATTTATCATTGCTAATAACAGGCGCTGATAATTATTTTTATATAAATATATACTTTTTTCCCTATCTTTTTCAATTTAATACATGCCTTATCGTGTGTTGCTTAATTAATGCTCTGCTGACCTATAGGATTTTCAGCAGCAGCGCAGCGAGCAATGAGTAAGCGAGAGATTGTAAACTATCCATATCAGTTGTTAGCGAGTAGAATGGATAGGGTAACTTATATCTTTATCAGACTCCATGTTGAAACTGAAGACATTCGGAGATGTTACCAATATGCACAAGTGACCTATTAACTTGCAATTACTTGAAGCTCCTCGAAACAATTTGGCCGGCCTTGCCTTCAGATTAGAAGATCTGATGGGGCTTTTTTGTGCTAAGTCCATTTTTTCCAGACGCTTTGCTGTTGAACAAGTCGCGGATGAGGGCAGACTTCTCAGTTTCCAGTTGAGCAATTTTACTTCCTTTCTCAGAGACCTCCTGATGATGAAAATATATTATTATACAAATAACACCAATCAACGATTCCTTATGGTCTCTTAACCGCTATTAGTGACTGAACAGCTCCCATGAGTGACCAAGACAGAATTTCTCCTTACAATATCAACATAATATCAAGCAGACAAATGATGGGAATAAACAAAAATATTAATTAGGAGATTATTAGTTGATCCAATACGATCCAATACCTAGTTCTTTGAACTAAAATCATAAGAATTGTATGGTAGACAGTAAGGAGAATTACTATTATGAGAGCTTGGAAGGGAAAAGGTTCAAAAAGGGCTACTCTAAGGGAAAATCGCAACAATATTGAAAGAGAGCCACACAATAAACGCTAGCACTTAAAAATTATCAGGGAGGCACTTGTTAACTCTGCTATTCACAAAATTGATAACAGATTTCTGAGAGGCTAAATACTAGAAATATATTATTTAAAAACAACAAAAATGGGTTAAAAGTTAGAAATTTTCAGATCCCTGAGATTTAGCCACATAAACAGGCTACATGTAGGAGATACACAGACTATGCATACAAAAAACAAGCTACAGTCTAATTATTAATTTTTATAATGACCTTTTTGAGACGTTCTACTTCATCCTGCAGCCATTGTTTTTCATTACTAGCTTCTGAACTTGAAGTTGGTGATGCCTAAGGAAAAAAATTATCCATATCATTCAAAAGGGATTAGCATATCAGCTGAGCAGAAGGAAGAGCCAAAAATTGTTCTAAATATGATCAATCCTGAGAGTGAAACTTCTATAATGAAAAAGCAACTCAAACAAGAGACCTAAACTATGTGTACCTTTACAGGTGATTTCCCTTCAATGATTCTTTCTAAGGACTGATTCACACTCTGTATGTGATGTTTGTGCTCTTTAAAAGAGTCATCATCCAAACCAAGCTCTCTCCTTCTTGTCTTGTGAAGCAAAATTTCATACTGAAACTGCAAAGGGGTAGATGAGCACAATAAATGTATTTAAAAATTTAACATTCAAAAGTTAGCCCAAGAGAAAAAAATTCAGAAATCTTTTTACAGTAATGAATACAAATTGTAAGCCTTACAGACCTTTTGCAACATACATGGTGTTCATTTTGACTATAATTTCTGTTAGTCAGAGTTCTGTATTTTTGGTATGTCAAATGGCCCCTTTTGCCATGATTGCATCTTCAGCAATTTTCAAGCTCTCTTTCTAGCTTGAAATCTGGGCAACATTCAAGCCAAATAAAAATAGGACAAACATAATTATACTGTAAAAGTAGGACAAACATAATTATACTGCAAAATGTATTTCCTATCACCTAGAAAAACAAATTTGATTGATACTTCCTTTCTGTTGGCCACACTGTTCATGGCCATATAACCAACATACAAATCTTCATTCCTCAAATACTTTCTAAAGGGTGCATGATCCTGGCAATATTTATGAGCAATGACTGATTTGTGGAAAATGTTACAAGTGGGATACTGGTTTGCTATATGATGAAAAGGCTCATCTGCCTGTTGCCTCCCTCATAGAATGCTTTCTTCAGTTAACAAATAGAAGTGAATAGCAGACATTGAGGAGTCACTCATTCAGCTACACAGCCTCCTTAATCAGGTGGTTTGTTGTTAAATATTCTTCTTATATTCATGATACAACATACAAAAATGAATTGCTTTTACTTATCATTTTCAAGTTGTTCTAAACAAGTCATAGTGACATCAATTGATCAATTAATGCATGTGCATTTTTAGAATGTTCTCTGATACAGGTGCCTGGTCAAACTTGTAATGAAACATTATGATGACATAATGAATTACCTGTTCAAGAGAATATTGGTCGTCATTTTGAAGGTGCAATTTCTCTTCCTGAATAGCTGTGATTCTTTTAAAATACCACTTTCTAGCTTTTTCGATGACCTGAAGACCATTTTGTAAAAGGTCATGCTCATCATCAAGCTCTTGTAATCTAGCATCCTACAATATCACAGGAATAAAAAATATTGCCAGCATTCTTGTTTTCAAATCAAGCCTTACCATACTATCTAACCAATAAAATTAATAATAAGCTATTACAGTGCTTACAATTTAATTAAGACCACATTAATGCACAGCATTTAGTTTTCAAAGAGATATTAAACATGGCTTCCATCGTAATTAATCAACAAAGTACAACAAAGAAGAAAAAACATAACTTTTGATGCCATTTAATTGAGTTTGAGTGCCAACATTGCACCCTTCAAGTCTCTTCCATCTTTAGGATTATCAATATCTCTCTGTTACCTATGTGAATGTCCATGATGAATAGTCTTCAAATAGCATGAAATAGTTTACATGTAAAAATTCCAGACTATTTTTGCAGCCATTGTACAATTTCCTCTCACTGCTGCAAGCTGAAGGGTTACGGGTAGTTGCAGGTATGTTTTTATCTCCCAAGCTTGACCCTCAACAAAAATCAAGCAAACTACATTTTCCAGCCAGAATATTAAGCTTATCAAATCTTACTTGCATGCATTGATACAAGTATACAATATTTATCAAAGTTGTCATCAAAAAAATTACTCTAACCTAGGACAAAATATAAATGAGATATGCTTGCAAATAATTTGTTTTGACCAAAAGAGTCACTTGGGAGAATAAATTGTGCCATTATTATCATTTTTAAATACTTAATCAATAATCAATATTACAGAGACATATGTCTGGAAACCTGACTGCATATCATGAAGGACAATAATAGTTGATTCTACTAATTTTTTCATTATATCAATAAATTTTGATTGCACTATAATAAAAAGGGACACCCTTCAATTTGTTGCATACCGTATATTCAGTAATTTAATTGAATAATAGTTAACTTTAAAAAAATACATTCCTTTCCTACCAGAAAGTGGTTTAAGATACTTCTACCAACTGAACTAAGACACCACATTTTGAGAGTGAGGAAAGTTAAATAATCTCATGAATTACCTTTTCAATTGTCTGGATTTCAGTAGGAGCAGCAGAATGTTTAATATGTCCATTTAAATTTGTTGGTACACTACTGCTGATTTCTTTACCAACAAAGTAGACTTTTGTTGTAGAATTTGATCTTCCTTTTGGACTTCCATTTCCTGAGGATGGACCTGCAAGTCAACACAAGCATGAAATCAGTTTGGCACATGCAGTCACAATTCACTGATAATAGAAACAGTAAATTAAATTGTTGGAATCTCTATTTACAAGAACAGCATGGTCTTCTTTTTAAAATGGCTCAGTATCTTTTTGCTAAATAAACAGTTAGTGGAAAATAATCAGAACATTTCTGTAATAAGTCTTGTTTTTTTACTAGACAATTTAAAACCTAAAGTATCTCACAGAGGCTGAGTTCTGTGTCAGTCAGTAATGTAATTAGAGTTGTCACTTTTGTAGGATCTTTCAATAGAAAGTGCCTCATAGAAATTATGTCAACATGCAGGGTCTAGTGTATGGGATGGAAAATACCATGAATTCATAGGTCTCTTAAACAATTTATCCAATATTAAAGTCAAAGTTGTCAGCTCTTGCAAAAAGTCTCAAATCTTATTTACAATGCAATTTATTTCTGCTAAGAAGTCTAAAATTCCTTTCAGTTTCTCTGAGTTGGGGATTAAAATTCCTGTAGCAGAAGGTGACTCAGTAAAAAGACAGCTGTCTAGAAAGAGTAGCTAAAAAGTTAGCTTTGTGTAAACAGTGTATCATTATTGTCATTTGAAAATATTGCAAAGAAGATGATGTTTTTCAAAACAGAGTGGAAGAGTGAGTATCATATAACTCCAACTCAACATTTCCTTGTCATTTATAATGCTTGTGAAAATCAAGGTAAAGTGATGTCATTGTGATTTGTATTGCAAATACAAATTGTGTACATGTACATGTAGTTTCCATCTGTTTTACAGACTGGATTCTAAGTGTCTCACAAGTCTTTCATTTTCCCCCATCACCACTTACTCTAATGAAGGCCCAGTCTACTTTAAACTTGTGTTGCCCTAAATAGGGATGGAATTTCAACCATCATTGGTAATGCCCCTCTATATAAAAATTAACTCCTATAAGCATCTATTTTCCACTTCCAAATTATGTCCTTCACCTATTGTGATCAATGCTTGAAAAATCCATCCATTAATCTAATGAAAAATATTAGACATTGCAAAATGTGGGTTGGCTTAGGGGGGGTCTCAAAGCCAAGATATTTGTATATTAAGATTGAATGAGAAAAATCCAATATTTTTTAGGAAGAAGTTGAGGGCAGAAACTCTTGTGAAGGGATGTATATTGACATCCTAGGGGATATAATTGAGACACTGCTGCATCATCATCCTGATTATATTGCTGCATCTCCCTTGCTTTCAACATCCTTTTCCGTTTTAAGATTATTTCTAGCACTGCCTCCAGCATTTCTAAGTTAAGAGGTAGTTTGTTTATCACAAAAAAATAATGCGACGCATGGTCTGTCAAGACTCAATTACATAACTTTTGAGAAAGAACCACAACAGGCCCAGACATGAAATCTGTAACCTCTGAAACTTTAAAAAGTTAACTATAATCTCCACAGGAATTCTAAATTGTCAGCTAATATTCTCATCAATCATATGCAACGAAAAAGATATGTTATATTGACAATGTAAAATAAACATTTTTTCATGGCTGAAGACATTAGCGGTACATTGGCCTTACAGTCTAATTTTAAAGTTTTGACATGTTGTTTAGACATAATCGAGGTCGCCATGCAGAGAGACCACCTGGTATTTTGATAATCGTAATCTCTATTGTGTTCGTTGGAATGGCTTACACATTTTGGCACGTCCAATTTTTGTGTCCAAATTCAGGATTACAGCTAAATCGTTTAGCGTTAATCTGACGCCAAACGAATTATCATGTTGTAAATACTTCTCAGTCTTAGAACCTCTGAAATGCGAAAAAAACTACTTCAGATCAAGAGGGTGGTAGTTTAAACATAATAAATTTTCAAGCGAATTGAACGAGTGCAAAAGATACAAAAAATAAACATTGTCTCGCCACTAGTTCTGTAGTACTGTTCCATTGAACTAATTTTAAACATATGCGACATCCTTTGACGTAAAAACGTCGAAATATGGACATATGCTAAAGCGCCCGGTATGCTTTAATCCGTGTTCTATTTAGATTAGGACACCTTTACTGTTTTCAATTAACGCGCGTTCGTTTATGAAGTTAAAAGCGCCCCGAAAGAAAAATTATTTCTTTTACTAGTCATATTTAATTAGAAAATTCGGACCACAAAGAGAAAATTGGTGGTTATTTATAGGTTCAAGGCCGAAATTCCCATGAATATCATTTACTACCAGCCCACCGTGTCGTAACAAAAGAAACACTTACTTGTACTTCCGGAGCTATCGTTCCCGTTTGTCCGTGGATTTGAAGCATTAAAAGTCAGAGAACGCCTCTTTTCTTGATTTTCATTCTTCCAATCCCTTAATTTGTTAATTACTTGAGCCTTAGTTCTGTTTTCGTTGCCTGCAAATGAGTCCTCGCTAGAATCGGAAGTCCAACCTTTAGTGGCCGTGTCCAGCTGCGGTAGCGAGTTCGATCTTCTGGTTGAGTGATCTAAGCCGTTCGCACTACCATTTGTTTGGGCGCGTGGTTGCGTTTTAAGGGCCAATTTCATTCCAGTACATAGTCTTTCAAAGTTCAGAAGCCCATTCTTGGGGGTAACCTTCCGTAAATTTTCCATGACTCCCTCTCCGAGTCCATTCGAGCCTTGTTTAGTTTTCCACCTAGTCTCTATGTCAGAGAGTCGCACAAAGCCTGTTCCCTTCTCGTCAAGAATATCGAACAATGTTTTTAAATAGCGTAGAAATTCTCGTGGCAAATCCTGTGTGATGTTGACAGGCTTTGCAATAATTGTAGGAGAATTCTCGCCACCATTCTGCTTCGAAAAAATAAAGACATGTCTACCTACTTGCCTTGTATCCATTGGTGAAGCGGACATCTTTTCGGGATGAAAAAATTCATAACACTGTCCACGTGCAAGTGAGGCTCTGGGTATTGAAGGTGTCAGCGATGACAATAACTTGCTTGTTAGTGGCTAATTTTGGTAATCACTTGGCGTAAAAACAAACAGAGCCTGTGGCTTCCTTTGAAAACGTGTGTAAAGGAAGTTTTTCGAATTAGCAGGAATCACGTAGCTTCTTATGGTGAGGGAAGTCCAAGAATTTGCCCAAGTTTAATTGACCCAAAGTAATTTTTTGCGCTGATATAGGTCCGTCCGCCTTGTGAAGAAGAGCTTGTTTACAGCGAGAGTTTCCTTTGTGACTGCTCTGACAAAAACAGTTTCAGTTTACAATTCTGTGATCACTACGTGAGGTTATGACACCTCGATCATTTGATTAAAAGCCCGCAAAACTGTGTCAACAGAGGAATAATCAAACACTAATTAAAAACGAAGCAACTAAATGAATGCCTATCGTGAAAGACATCGAAACAATTTTCAAGATCATACGAAACCGCCTGCTCCCAGCAAATATAAGCTTCTTGGAATGATTTCACGTATGTGCTACAACAAACATATTAGTCAACTCAAGCACAAAAATAAACCTTAACGAAACAAATCTGTATTTAAGACGACAAACTTAATGGTCCTTAGTGAGTTTTTCCGTTGTCTGACTTTTTCAGTTTGGAATCCGGATGTGGCTTGTTTTCAGTCGAAATTTACGCCTCCGCATTAAACGCAGACTCATGGCTATCGATTGTTTCCTGCCGTTGAAAAACCTCAAGAGACCGCGTAGTCTATGAAAGGGGAAGCCATAGTGTTTAACTTTAATTAACATGTGCTGTGTTTTTAAGGTTCACTGCCAAAGCATTCAATTCGACTGCAGCTGGCCGTAATCAATTGATGACTCCATGCTGAACTGAACAATGGAGACTAAATGGATACTTAATTTTTTATGTGATTTGAAAGCAGGGGAGCTCAAGAAAATGATATAAACGCCGGCCTTCACTGACCGAGTCGTAAGTAGGACTCACTTGGCTAGTTCTTCTGTGGTCATGTTTTTACAGAGACAGTGCGTGTACTTGATGCCAACCGAGTTTCAAAAGCGTAGGAATCAAAAATTTGTTCTTGTTCAGTCGTTTTTCTCGGATGAGCCTCACGAATTTTCTCTCCTACGTTCCTTCGTTTGTGTTCACTGACAGAGACAGGTTATGAATTAAAAGTTTTAGAATAAATAGTCTTTTCGTTTAGAGTTATCTCAAGGTTTTCACACGTGTGTAGCGAAGGAATAAACAGCGTCTTTTATCTTGCGTGTGCCGATTTCTAATTACGAGGAACCTTTTTTTTGAAATCTTCATACATCAACAGGCACCTTTAAGATATATGCTACTCTACAGAGAAAACGATTCCACCTTGATATTTAAGTGTGTATTCATAATGATATCTAGAGGGAGAGAGGTTGCTTTAGAAGTTATATTCTGAGATTACCTTAATTCGAGAGTAACGTAAAAGCAATGAAAGTACGTTTCTAGGTATTCTAAGTAGACGGTTTGCGGCACATTTGAAAGGCAAGGAGTTTTACACTAGAAGATTTGTGTAAACAAAATATTAGGCATCATTGTGGGATTAGAACAGGGCCTGGAAATCAAGATTGTTATGGAGGGAAGGTGCTGTATTGGGTAACGGTCCTAAAAAAAAGTGGAATAATTTTTTGTGGCTCAGAATAAGAGCGGTCTTGGTAACGCCAAAAAATTCGCTGGGAAGCTGAAAAAACTGAGTTCTACTACAATCGATTTTATTTATTCATTTTGTTTGCCGAAATGTACATAACTAGGGTAATTGGCTTCTACCGGTGCACATAACTTTAGCCCTCTTGAAGGTAATCTATTTATGCGAAGTACGTTTCTCGCGTTGGTGAAGGAATTTTAATCATCGTATTTGATCGACTCCAAAGGGAACGCAGAGATGCAATGCCTTTTGCTGCTAGTCTTCCTCTTAGCAGCCGAGGTTTGTCGATGAATGCAAATCGAAATCGTCTTTAGCATGCTTCCCGGCATAAGTAAAGTTCTATTAAGTTCGTATTTCTTCATGATTTTCAGCTCAGAGATATGGTCCAAAGGTAAGTTTTGCTTTATCTCGCTAAATTTCATCCGATTATGCCCCTCCCTAAACTCGATTCACTCGACGGATTAGCCCTGTTCTCAACCCTTTAACTCCCAAGATCTGATTGTCAATTCTCCCCACTAGCTACTACACATTCCTTTGAAAATTGATCGCGAGAATAACGTGTTGAATCCAGCTAATAAATTGTACGTAATGAGTTTGAGTATTCACTACCTACTACACATTTCTTTGTAAATTGATCGCGAGAATAACGTGTTGAATCCAGATAATAAATTGTACGTGATGAGTTTGAGTATTCTCACTACCTGTTTGCTGTCTAACGTGTTGATACTATAGGGAGAAGTTACATGGTAATCACTTCTGGGATTTAAAGGGTTAAAATCTGAGGTGTTCATCGCCAAGGCGACGCCTAACAACTTTCAAATGCTCGAGTCATTGGTACTTGTCTTCTTTTGACAGATATCAAGTAATACCCTGAACTGATTCCGCTGCAGATAAACCTTTGACCCTGAGCTTTACGTGGAAGCCAGGTTAAAAGAACGAATTTGATAGCAGACGAATAGAAGAGTCAGAAGTTATCCTGAAGAAACCATGTTAGGGCCAAACATGATTCGAATTAAATCGAAAATGCGGCAAAGATTTGGGAGGTAAATTTCGCGGGAAAAATACCCTTTCCAATTGAAGCGCAAAACGCCATTTTGTCGGTAGATGCACTGGCTAAATTATTCCAAGTTCAGCACAGGTACCATTTACAGAAACGCAGCAACTTAAACAGAGAGAAGGCGGCAATTTTCACTGCGCAAAACATTCTGAAGCACTAAGCATAAATCGGGTTTTCTGAGCATAACAAATTTGGAGCTTTTTGATCAGAATTAGCAGAACAGGCTGAATACAGGATGTTACTTGTATTCATTTTTTAGTCTCGTACCAAGACCTTCCACGGCCAAATCTAACACTTTCCACAAAGAGTCAAGGGACCTTTCCCGACTTTTATAGCACACAAAGGGAAGGAACATTAGCTGGAAAGTTCATAGCTACGCGAATGCTGAAAGGGGAAAAGCACGCAATAAAACGCCATTGAGCGAAAACATTTTGTTAAACTATTTTCCTAATCAGTAAAAGGTTTACAAATGTTTTCATCCTCCAGAAACAAGTATATACAGTATTAATTGGAATACGCCAATAAAAAAAATATCAAAAAGACATCTCTCTCCTATTTGTTAGTCAATGTCAATATTTTTCTTTAAGTTGGAGATGGATTTTTGTTCGGTCACAGCTTCCTGATCTGTTTTTCCTTTTGTTAAATTTCTTCGATTTCACTTCAAGTTTCTAAACGAAGGCATGGGCTAGATTTTATGCGCCAAGTGAAATTCACGTGCCTTAAAAACCCAGCCAGTACGTACAGAAGTTGTCACATCGTTTTTGTAGTTCCCTGACGCACGCGTGGACCGGTTTCTCCATTACTAGTCACGTGCCAACCACGAGGAAGTAGTACGGCTTGCAAGCTTATGCATTAGCACGAGCTGTCACGTGTTTTTCTGTCGTTTCCAAAACCTTTTAACGTCATCATGACCTGAGCGGCTAACAACAATAACTCTCTTTGATGAGTTGGCCCACATTAGTACACCAAGATCCTGAAGAGAGAAACCGATAGAGAAGGTCAGCTACAACAACAGTTTGAAAGTAGAAGAAACAGATTAAGTGCGAAAGTTCCTTGCCTAAGTTCTCATGAATGGCCTAACAACTCGATGGAATATAGAGAAATTTTGAATTAAGTGTTGAAGTAATCCGGGTTTGATTTTGTTTCATTTTAATTCGTTTTGCGATTGGCCCAGAAAACTCGCGTCACCCTCCAAACCAATCAGACGCAAAACTTAAAACAATTGCGACTTTGTCATTCGCGTTTTCCCGCGCTTCAAGCCGTTTGAGTTGTCATTGGCTAGTGATGATGTCAATCTTTGTTCTGATTAATCGCTCCGATAAATCTGGTTGCGAGAGTGACGTAAAACCAATGGCAAAAATCTAGGTACAGAGAAAGGTATTCAACTGTTCCTATTACTTTGAGACGGAAACTGACATATTCAAAGTCAAAAGACACAAACAACAGACTTATCGTTTGCCCAAACATTTCAATCTCCATGCGTTCACTTTAATCCACTTCACTTTGTGCAATTAATTCAAATTCAGAAAATGTGAGTGTGTGTAACAACCAGCCAACATAGTTTCAATACTGGTGAGCTAGTAATGTTCAGTGGATCATGATACTAGCACAAGGTCCCTTACCTCTGCATACTTCTTTAGGGTTTCAAAATCTGCTTGTGAGAGGAACTGGTTGTATAGCACACCTTCGGAGAAAAGAAAATATTTCTCCTCAGTGTAGCTCTCTGGAAGGTTAACACCATAAATGCGAAAAATGTAAGGCGACATGGACTCCTTAAAAAAACTGATTAACTATGCTTAACGTTTTATTTGAGTTAAAATATATTGTCCTTGCAGTTTGGGTATACTTAATGGAGCACTGAATAAAAGGGGTAAGTTTCTTAAGGACACCCTTAAGTCTAAGATACTATGACCTTACCTTCAGTGAACTTCATTCGGCTCCTTTCCAGTTCCCAGAGTCGAATTTGATCACTTATTGTTGGTGGTATGATGGGATTCTGGGAAGTAAAGAGATTGCCGTTTAATAAGTGACAGAAGGAAACATGACGCACGTGGCCAGAAAACATAAGTCAGAACTGACTGGCTTAACTGAATATCCACTCAGATCAGTTGACCTCCAAGACTCATTCACTCCTCTGATGAGATTTTGGATCAATGTCAGTATCTGAGCAACTGCACATCTACCCCTCCCCTGACCGAACGAAATTCGACTGATAACAAGTTAAGGTTAATGTTGGGTTAGGGGAGAGATAATTTAGCAGTTGCGAAGATACTGACATTGATCGGGATTTTTTTGGACAAAAGTTTTGCGGGAAACTCTTCAAAAGTATCTGAAGGATTTTTTTAGTGTTTTTGTTTAATATGTCAGTAAGTTCGACCAATTTCAGTTAAGGGAAAGTGTCCTGAGCAACAACACTGTTAACATTTTATGTCTGTGAAGAATTATCCTTAAATTGACAATACCAATTCTATTGGTAGACAAACAACAAGGAGGTAGAAAAAAATAACAATGAAGCTTAAAAAGAACTAACTTACAAAATTTTTCATGATCCACATAGTAAGTATCATTTTTTCAGAAAAGAGATTAACTTGTACTTGAACAAAGAACAAATTTTCATACAAACCTTTTTTAACATTTCAGGGTGTGCTCTAGTCCTCAAAAAGTGAAGAATCTACAAAAAAATAATAAACATTAAATTTTTGTTTTTTTTTGTTTTTTATTGTTAGTACATAATATCTTGCACTGTAACTGATTCACATCACTTCCTACACATATGCACAACTTTGAAACAGTGTGTACTAAACATTTTAAGGAAGGGAAATTTTTTTTCAAGTATCTGATAGAATAAAGAAAATATTCAACCTGTTCAGCTGATATTCCACTTGACAATGCCTACAGATAGATAGATACTTCAGTACTGGTAACTATAACATTAGTCATGGGCTTAACATGGGCTGAATTCTGTTGAGATTAGTAATAGGATATATGCACAGAGAGGACATAGGCAAGAGGTCTTTCAAACAAATGAAAAAATATATATATATATATATTACATACATATATATTGGTCCTCCAAGTTGTAAAAAGGCCGAAAAAACCTTTTTTGGCTGAATTTCAAGTTACCCATCTGGGAATTATACTTGAGCCTACTAATTAAAAACCCTTCAAAGCTTTGACTCTTGGATACCCAAGCCCTCACATTTTCAGTCAAGACGAACACTAGATCTTTTCAGTTCTCCTACAAGCCAGTTCAGGAGGTAGTTTATCATTAAAGAAAGCCTGCATACTCTGTTGCAAAATCTGAAATTTCTGTTGAACGTTTGCTACATCAAATTTTTAAAATTCATTACTGTGGTCAATTTATCCTCTAATCAATTTCAAATTGAAATTCAAAGATTTCAAAGAGTTTCAATTCTCACTGAAAATCAATAATAGATTGTCTAATAATTTGTTTTTAAAATCACTTCACTAAAACATTACCTGCTGAACACTGTCTCTTGTCAAAGCACCAACACACATGTTCGGAAACCTACAGAAAGTAAAAGAGGCATGACTTGTACTGTGTCAACTCCTTGAACAACTGGAACAATAGCCTAGCTTTGAAACATCTCTAAGAAACATCTTCACATGTATTGCATAAAAATCATTAGTTTACAAATTTGTACTAAATAAATGAGAATATAGCACTGCAGACATTTTAAACTACAATTCCATGGTAGATCAACTCAATTGTTCACAGTTCATTAAAAAATACAGACCTACAAAGTATCTCAGCAAACAATCCTACAAGAGCTACTTGCAGAGATGAACCTGTGTAGTTGGAGGAGAAAATTAGTAAACCATTTAATCACAAAGTGCTTCTCAAAAGTGAGTTGACAGTCAAAGATGAGCATCTTGTCTCAAGATATGAGCCACTTGCCTCTTGCTGTATTGAGTGGGTAAGCTGTTGCTAGGTTTTTTAATAAACCCCAAAAAACTATTGGATAATACATGTAAGTGTAAAACTTTTACATACAGCAAGGAATATGGTAACAAATTGTGCATTGTATCATCTTAACTGCAAAGACAGTTGTTCTTTGGGTAGCTGTAGAGCAGCAAGTAGAAAATTTGAAACTTAACACTGAGAGCAACTGTCAACAAGCAAAAGTAGAAAATTTGAAACTTAACACTGAGAGCAACTGTCAACAAGCAAAAGCAGAAAATTTGAAACTTAACACTAAAAGCAACAGTCAACAAGCAAAAGTAGAAAATTTGAAACTGAACACTGAGAGCAACTGTCAACAAGCAAAAGTAGAAAATTTGAAACTTAACACTGAGAGCAACTGTCAACAAGCAAAAGTAGAAAATTTGAAACTTAACACTCAGAGCAGCTGTCAACAAGCAAAAGCAGAAAATTTGAAACTTAACACTGAGAGCAACTGTCAACAAGCAAAAGTAGAAAATTTGAAACTTAACACTTAGAGCAACTGTCAACAAGCAAAAGTAGAAAATTTGAAACTTAACACTCAGAGCAACTGTCAACAAGCAAAAGTAGAAAATTTGAAACTTAACACTCAGAGCAACTGTCAACAAGCAAAAGTAGAAAATTTGAAACTTAACACTGAGAGCAACTGTCAACAAGCAAAAGTAGAAAATTTGAAACTTAACACTCAGAGCAACTGTCAACAAGCAAAAGTAGAAAATTTGAAACTTAACACTGCGAGCAATTGTCAACAAGCAAAAGTAGAATATTTGAAACTTAACATTGAGAGCAACTGTCAACAAGAAAAATGTGAGGGGGTAGGAAAAGTGAGTACTAATTTGTTTAAACAAACTAACATACATGTGTAAACCAATACTGAGTTGAAATTTGGTATCTTCCATTGTATATTGATTTTTTGAAGAGCAGCAAAGTGGCAAAGCTCTTGAACAATACTGATTCCTAGGAATTTGGGCCAAACTCAGCAGAGGTGAGCCTTTCAATTCTCCCTCACTTTCTTGATAAAATACATCTAGCATCACATTTCTTTCTATCATTACTTACTTGTATATGCATAAAGACGGTAGTTTGTCTCAACTACAATAAAGCCCTTCTGATCTGTGTTACTGACAGTTGAACTCCCTGAAACAGATAAGAATTTTCAGTATTCTCTCAATGAGATAAAAAGTACCTAATGGACATTGTACACCGACAATATTTACACAACAACTACATGAAATTATTAAATGCTTTCCTGTTCCCATATCAGTTTACATATGACCCTTAATACCCTAACATCAGTATGTATATATTCTCTACACTGTTCCCTAAACATTGCCTAAGATGCTAATGGAGAATTTGTGTAACAATCAAGAGATTTTTTAGTTAGTGATAATTTCCTCTCTTTTAATGTGTGATTCAGGGGTGATATTGTCTGGAGAAATTAAATGCTAATCACTCTCACAGGTCAAAAGCAAGATAAGTGATTGTTACCTATTCCTGCTGAAGCCAAATTAATGGCTAATCTAGTGGGATAGTATCTTCTTGACTTGCGCTGAAAGAGTTTCACAGATAAGTATACTAACTTGGGTAAGATTATTCACAAAAGGGTCACAACAAAATGTAGTATTAACAGCCAATAGCATAATGTTAGCCAATTCCCATATAGGAAAGAAAATTAAACCAATACCTTTCGCTGAAAGACAAGACCAAATTCCCTGAGATGTTGAAGGAATTTTAGTTGAGACTCACTCATGCCCTCTGTAGAGTAGTCCTGTACAAGAATATAAAATAACAGGAAAGGATAATACATGACTGTATTCAATGGCTCTTCTTCTTCTAAAAAAAAAAATAGCTGAAGGCATCTTAATTTTTCCTCGTTCTATACAACAGCTGGAGACTTATTTGGTCTCTGGTGCCTGTTTTATAGTCTGTTATCTCCAAAACTGAGAAAGTCAGTCAAACAAAGCTTCTTCTTATCTATTAAGTTGGTGTAATCATCTCAAATAGCAGCACTTAGCTTACCATTAGTGACACACAATTCAACAATCCCTGATGACTGTTTATCAAATTTTTGAAAATCAAGACACTAGTAATAATATAATAATAATAACAATAATAATAATAACAACAATAATAACAACTTTGTTTGAGTCTCAACCTTAAAGCCAAGAGTAAAGCTTTACTAATTGGCTGGGAGACAGTATATAATTCAGAAATTGACCTATATAATTTTACAACTATAACCCAAAGAGAGAAGACCTAAATAATTATGTATTATTATATCTAATTATTATAAATCAAACTATCCATGGGATACGAGATATAGAAACTATCCAAGATGATTGTAAATCATCTCTATTCCCATAACCAATCTACTTGCAGAACTTATTTTATTATGTAGAAACTGACCTTGCCAAGGCTTGCAAAGCTAATTTGGAATAGAAAAGACAGGCACTCCACAAGGTCCATGCCTCGAGCCTGACAAAATATACAAGAAATTTGAAAGTAAATGAGAAAAAAGGGGTAATTATTTTTTGAAGCACATAAAAGAAAGGAAAGGGAAGTGGAAAGGCAGAAGTCATTGGGAAAAGGGAGGGAAGAAATTTATCAGAAATTAAATTTATAATAATGACTGGCAGAGATTTCAAAGTAGTTACAGACTGCATGTACCAAGTCTGTGCATTTGTCAAGCACATACAGTTACACAAGTTGTAATGACACATGGTGAAGTTGATGTGTTTACCTCAACAGTCTCCAGGTATTGTATCATAAAGTACCAAACTTGTGAAGCTGTGTCCATGAGTAAAAATTGAAATCCAGCAGGACTTATAACTGGTGATGCACCAGGTGTCTCACTGTTACAAAAGTCACAAAAACATGAAAAACACAATTAAAATTGCTGATACCATGCATCATCCTCTACACAATGTTGTGTAAAATTTAATGTAGAATAACTAATAGGCAATTACCATTTCATGAGTCCCGATAAAACCAACACACGGACAACATCCTGACTAACAGCTGCACTTTCCTCACTTGAAGTATAACCAGTCATAAAATGAAGAACAGACTGAAGATGTGCAAAAAAACCAACAGTAAGAACACTTGTGATATTACCAGACCACCTATCTGAAACGTGGTTTGTACCTTTCAAAACTACATAAGATTTTGTGACAAATTTTGAATGTTTCTAGGACCAAAATAATGTAAAAACAATCCTTTAATTAATCCTGTAGTCACTTGTTTTGAAGGTCTTCAAAAATCACATTCATTCATTTTCTAATGTATAAAACAAAGTTGCAGATTTCCTTTGCTTTCTGTCTTTTTTTAAGACAAATATGAACCCTGCTGCATCTACAGTTTGTACCTTCTTTATACCTTTAAATCCTAAAAGTGGCCAGCATCTAATTTCTTCTTACAGAAATACTGCTGAACCATTTATTAAGATCATGAGAATAAAGAAAATGACTGCCAACCTAAGAAGCTTTGATCTCCAAATAAATTCTCCTTGTCTGTACCAAAACAAGCATATAGAGAAGAGTGTGGAGAATATTAATAGTGATGTCAGGGTGTAAAGGGTTATTGAACATATACAATAACTCTTCTGAGAAAAAAAAAAAACCCTTCCCTTTTTGTTTGATTTTTGTAAGTCCCATAGTAATTAGAGATAAAAAATTGCTCTGATGACCAAGTCTAAAAATAATTATTATCAAATGCATATGCACACCTACCTCCCACCTTTCCATACTATAATTATCAAGAAACGGAATGTCACGTGCATGCTTGTCTCTTTCAGGTTGTTCACCAGATCCTATCCATGGATTTCCTCTAAAAAAACAATTAACATTTTTTCTATATTATTAAATATTTCATATCTTTTTCTAAACAAAAAAGAGAAGCGTTGACTGAGCTCTGTTCTGTTGTAAAGCACATTGGAAGTGACTAGAGCATAAAAGAAGTGTAAAGAGAAACAAGAGACATAGTTGTGTGTTTCTTTCCACTTCTTGAGTGCTCTAGCCACTTCCTAAATCCTACCTAAACTTTGGACTGTCCAATTTGTTTTTTCTTTAAGGATTTTGTCTTTGTTCATCTCATAATAACGTAAATTAAGGCACTTAGCATGTTTTCGAACCTTTGTTTTGTTCTTCTGTTGCCACTTGCCAACTTGCTTGTTCTGAAATTTCACTTCCAATTAACGCAAAAAAAACAGAGAGAGGTCCAGGAAATAGTCTGACATAGTGCAATTTGGCCGTTGGCAGTAGCTTTACCTCAGCCCTATATTTTGTACTCTGATAGAGCATACTCTTTCAACCAATGACAAAATGCATTATATCACAACTTAATCATAGACTTCATTACAAAATTCTGACATCAAGGTGCATAATTACCCGCCACAGAGAGCAATCTTGAGATTGCCCCGGAAGGTTGCATTCATTTCAAGCCTATTGGGTATTCCACCACTTGATTCTTTCCAAATCCTGAGGCTTTTCAGTCTGTTTATAGATCCTATGTAATGTCTGCCATGGGTAACAAAAGTTACAGTGTATCTTGCATAATAATTTAGTAACAGAATGTAAAATAATGATCTTATGTCTCTATAACAGAATGTAAAATGAATGTAGGTGATTTGTAACTTCTCCCAATAATATTGATACATTATCCAGCACACAGGTGATGAGAATACTCAAACTTATCCAACAAAAATTGTCATCTTGATCAAACACCAATTTCATGTGACCTATTTACAAGGAAATGTATAGCAGTTAGAGAGGAGAATTGAACCTTCATCTCCCAAGAGTTTCTGTACATTATCCAACAAACTATCAAACTTATCAGGCAAGGTTGTCATCATCATCTAACACTAAAATTCTCATAACTAATTTCTAAGGAAATATATAGCAGCTAGAGGGGAGAATTAACAATCAGATCTTGGGAGTTAAAGGGTTAACATTCAGATCCTGGGAGCTAAAGAGAGTAAGACACAGATGTACAATAATTGTCAGATCAACCAGAGCTTTACCACTTGGACTTGTTTCATTTATTGTTTCTTTAGTGTAACTAAGTGCATTTGAATGTGCTGATATGCAAAATATGAACTGTTCAGTCCACTCCCAATAACTCAAACCTTCAATAGAGATTGAAAAAGGTTCAAGTCAAAGGCAACTGTAGTTAAACCAAAGAAACCTGAACTAGACTGACACCTTTCGGGAAATCAAAAAAGGACAAAGAAATCCAGGCAAATCAACTTTGGTTTCAGTCAGTATGAGGTTTGAGTTAGGAAAGGTTTGAGTCATCAGGAGTCAACTTTAAAAACATTCATCTATGTGGTTTGTCCTGAACTGTCTGTTTGTCCATCTGCATGTTTATCTGTCTCTCAATCTATCTACCTATCTGTCTGTCAAACTGTCTGTTATTGCATTTGTCATTTAACCAGAGAGTTGGTTTACATCATCTAGGAGGCAATCAATCAACTAGGAATTATTTGGTGATTGTAAGAATTAGATGCAATAACTTACTTCTGGTAATCTGTTTTGACCCATGCAGCTACCAGGGTTTCTGGTACAGGCTGATCAGCAAATAAAGTCCTCATCACAAATTGCTTGGCAAGTTCTGGTAATTCTCTGTGATGAACATAGCCAGTCATACCCCATAAGTTTGTGAATTAGTTTACTGTTAGTCTGGACAGCAAAATATCTGTTTTCTCTGTGCTACTTATTCCTGACTTCAAAATACAGGAAATGACATCTTTGAGGTCTTATTTTTGAAAATTTTCCAATTGTTATCCTCACCTTTGGTACTTGTGATTGCAAATTCAGTGCACCTACAGCTGATATTTTCTACTTCAGCAAGATAGAGTCTCAAAATTTTTAGTACATTTTTCTGTCATTTTGTGCCTAATTGTATCTTCTTAGAAAGGGGCAAAACATGAACTTCAATGTCAAACTTATCAACATTGTCTTTCTGTTTTTATTATCCTTATGATTATTGCAATAGTCATAAGGATGATAAAATCACTGTTGTCATTATCATTGTTTATAAAAGCTAATGCTGAGGCTGATCCAGGACTTGATGGAGGGAGGATTGGATAAAAGTTTACAAAAGGTTGGGTAGAGGGTAAGGGAGTATGCCCTACTAGGAAAATGTTGAAATTTAGTCTTTAAGGGTAGGGATGATTAGATGTTTTTGACGCCTTTGAAACAATTGCTGTTAAGCTATTTTAAACATACACTACGTCCACTTAAGTTTTTCGTCAGAAATAGCACATGCTTTTAAACATCTTCATTTGAGTATAGGGGGTTCGATCAAGCCACCCGAACCACCCTTGGATCCGCCCCTGTGATGATAATATTATCATCATCATTATTACAATTACTATCATTCTTGGCACAGGTGTTCAAAGGGCGAATAACGCTATCAACGGATAAATCGCTATCCAGCTGGTGGGTGTCTGCAAAAAAAACTGTGCCATCCACCGGAAAGGGATTTACCCAGTGGATAGAGTTATCCACCCCTAGAACAAGCGAGGTGAGCTACCATTACTTTAATAATATATAGATTTAGCCAACACGTGCCTGTAATGCACTACACCCACCTGAAAACTGCTAGGCAAATCGCTGGGTGATTGTACAATCGATCTAATATACCAGACGGTAGGCTTCCCAAATATTGGTGAAGATCTCTGCATTGTAAATGTCGGAAAAATGACGACCCAGATAGTTCAGCGGACGCCATGTTGGATGAGATCGAGTACTGGATAAAAAGGAATGGACACGAACTCTCTGGGGACCATTTCTTGTCATCAGCCGGAGCACCCTATTAATGATGCACTTAACCTTTTCTTTATTACCATCATCAACTGATGGTAGATGCTGACTTGCGAATTTCTGTTTATCACTTCTATTTTGCGACTTTTGCCATCGATAAGTTTTCAAGGCGTTCTTAGGGAACTTCTCTGGGTTTTGGAGACCAGAATGTTCAGGTTATCGATTGCGTGAACGCTTCGCTGCACAGCGGAAAATATTACGCCGGGTTGTTGTTTACATCTGAAAGAAATTTCTGTTCTGGTACTTTTTCGCATTTGGACCAGGCATGGGGTTCGGACTACAGCTTAAGCTATTACTTTGGAAGAATTTCACCTTGAAGAAGCGGGCTCCGGTAAGAGCTTTTTCAGGAAAAAAAATGTAAATCGTTTTATTGCACATTTAAGTTTCAATGAAGCGACGGCAAGGGTATTGTCTCATTTTAATTTTTTTGCTCTTTTATTGCTTTGTTCAATAGTTTACCGTTCTGATCGAAGTCCTTAAGCCTCTCGTTTTGTTCCTTATTTTGATGGGAATTCGTTTTCGACGAGAACCCGATTTCGTTCCTGAAGGTGCGTATAAAATGTAAAATGTGTATCAACTACGTCAAGATCATGTCCAAAGCTTACGTGTGCCGATTATTTAACAGATGCAATATATATATACTTCTCGTTGGTTGTAATGTCTTTAGCTTTGCATTATAAAGGAACTGTAACATACCTTAAGTGGAACTTAACTTGAAACAGAATGTGATAGCTATAACAGTGAGAACTACCAGGTGTTAAATATTAAATATTCTAATTTTTGTTTTCTTCCCGAGTTACATAAATTTTACATTTATCATGAATTTTATTTACGCTCGTGATTCATGCTCAAGTATAAATTAACCTGTTTGAGAATAATACAAGCAATAAGAAATGAATATAGACATGGGAATGACTTAAAATGAAAGAAAAACTACATTTTGTGTTACAAAAAGAAAAGAGATAAATTGGTGAAAAATATTCCTCACCGGTCTTACATTGGGAAGAGTAAAATGCGTTGTTTGTTTCATGGTAACAGTTTATTAAAATATATTTTCAAATTGTTTGGTTTAAGAGAGGATTTTTAGTTTTTTCAACGAATGAATGTATGATTTACGTGGGTGCTCTAGAATTTGTTCTCAACTCATAGCAATTCCTTCTGGGGTAGCTTTGTGGTTTCAGAATCTTGCATAAGACCTTTTTATAGCTAACAATGATCATAGGTCATAGCTGTTGTGTATTCATTGATCAAATAACTCCTTTCTTTGCTCTATGTTAACAGAAAGTTATTCAGTAGTCAAGGTAGTGTACTCATTGTACAATCATATCCTTGTGATCAGTTATTTTATTTTCACAAAGGAAAGTAAATTTACAATGTGAGCGAGTAATAAGATATGCCTTTAAAAAAGTAACACTGTGTAATGCAATACACTACAACAGCTTATAATCCAGATCAATGTGTAATTGCCATCAAAGGTATAAGCCTCTGAAATGGTTGGTTCCACCATCACATATTTTTTAATTTTTCTTCCACCAAGCTATCTCCCATATAAGATATTGTACTGTCAGTGAATAATCTATATTCATCATCTTGAGTCTGTGTCTGTGAAAGCATAGCTTATTAACCAACTCACAAGCATCTATATTCTAAAGTATTGTGTCCAATTCTTTTTATACAGAGGTATTTCCAGTGAGGGCTCTTCCTTCAGCAGGAATCATCCCTCTGCTTCAACAGTTTTGTAATAATAAAGATAAAGATGAGCATGGCTTCCCATTACATCCTAATGCAAGGTACATGTACAATACATGCATTGGCTGTCCCATAGACATGGTGCTATTGGGTTACAGGTTACAGGGTGTTAACCATTAGACCCTTTAACATCAATATCCATATTGACCATACCCTTTTCTGTACATTTTCTTTGATAATAACTGAAGAATTTGTTTAACCATCAAATCTTCCTGGGTTGGCAATCATTTCCTTAATTGTCATAGTATACCATAATTAAAATACTCTGTGGGATTAAAATACTTTGTGCTAAGAAATCTTCTAGTGACATTCCGCAAACTTGGAATCTAGATAATTTTATAGTGTATAGTTTTGTGTACATCTTTTGTGGTTATTTTGTTGATATTTACTTTTCATTCATATTTGTATCTTGCTCTTGTACTTGTATAATTTACCTTGGAATCAGGTTATTGAAACATTAAGTCTTCAAAGGTAAAACATTGTCTCTACTCAACAATGCTCATGAAGTTAACCCTTTAACTCCCATGAGTGACCTAGACAGAATTTCTCCTTACAATATCAATACAATGTCAAGCAGGTAAGTGATGAGAGTAAAGAAAACTACCAATCTGGGGATAACTAGTTGATCCAATACTAAATTCTCTGAAGCAACATTATAAGAATCGTATGACTGTCAGTAAGGAGAATTATAAATCTGATCTGGGAGTTAAAGGGTTAAAGAATGATTTAGTAGTATTATTGTATGGAGAAATTAGATGCTGGTCACTCTAAGGGGCTGTGAGGGTAGATTTTCTATCTTTAAAGCACCCTACAACAACCTGACTATGCCCAGGGCCTGTAATTACCCCTTTCACTCCCAAGGTCTTTTAAGTGATTCTCCATACTTTCTGCCATGCAATTTGGTTTTTAATTCCAAAAATTTCTCTTTTTTTGTGATTCTCATGACACTTGCCTGCTTAATATGGTATTGATATTGTATGGAGATGTTCTCTCTTGGTCACTCTTGGGAGTTAAATGGTTTAAGCCAAGCTTTTTCATCCAAAGTTTTGTCCACCAATCATGAAGTGACTATGTCTCCCACTCCTTCATTAACAACAGCATGGTTAGGATAAACAATGACTTTCAAGTTGTAGTCTATGGCGAAATCTCCCTCACAAGAAGTTCTTTTTAATTTGGCAAGCCTTGCATGTAGCATAGTGCCGATATATTACAAGATGTAGTGGTTTTGTGGGAAGTGCACTAAATTCTAGGTCAAATGATCTGAGTGTGAGCCTGGGTCATTTTATAATGTTGTTGAACACAACTCTCTACCTTCACAGTTCCTGTCTGTCTATGATGGTGAGTTGGAACAGGGAAACTGTAAGGGAAGCCAAAAAAAAGGGTTGGGGGAGGAGAGGGGTTATCTTGTAATAGACTAAACATGTACAGTAGTATTCTATCCAGTGGGTAATAATAGTAATACTCCTGGTCACCTCATACCACTGAGACTAGTACAGACCTCAGTTATGTTGGTGTCATACCACATCTTAGTTGTTAGCTGTTAAGAATAGAGATCTAGGATGAGAAAACATTTTGGGAGCAGCAGATTGAACATAGAATAATATTATTATTTTACTTACTATTTTCTCCATGGCTTGCTTTTGTTTTTTTTCAGTATTGGTGCTGTTCTGGATCATATTGCAGACATTCTCTCATCTCCTGGTCTGTCCACCGCAGATGACTTGAAAACACTGCCTCAGGATTATGAAGACTTTACAAGGAACTTCAAAAAGCTTATTTCACATGCTCAGAATGTTGATAGTTAGTACTTTCAAATATTATTGGACACTATTCTACATTGTATAGATTAAAATTCTACCCCAGACTAGTCCAGCTCCTAACAAATTAAGCTACATTTGACATAGGAAAAATTAACAGCGAGCTTTCAATCCTTGTGAAAGTAAACAACTTGATAAATGCTATTTGAATACTGCCCTTGTAAATGTTAAATTAGAAGGAAAGATGTGTCATCATCAAGTCAAGTAATTATAAATTTCTAATCAGAAGTGTATATGTTAGAATTTCTGCTTATATTACGTTGTGTAATTGTACTTTACTCATCCAGCTCCTTCTGTCCTCTTGTTTATTCTAACGGTAGCCTAGAGGAAATTTTCCTTTATGGGCAACTAGTTTATTTTATGACAACACATCAAGGGAAATAAGCATCTGCAATAAATAACTTATTACCATCCTAATTTTTCATGAGAGTCTAGGGTTGTCAAGGTTTGACTACTTACAAACCCAGAACATGCTGTATGGCTGCAACATTCTTCAGTTCCCAATGGTGTTTACCAAATTATATCAATAAATTTTTTAATAAATCATCTGGATTCATTTTACACATATAAGTTAAGTGATATTTTTTCCCCTTGTCATGCCTTGTAGACTTCACAATAAGGGAAATACTTACAGATCCTGAAGAAGCTCAGCAGTTTATGCAGAACATGTCTATTGCACCAGCAATGGCAGAAGGGTTACTAAACACAACGGTTAATTCAAGAGAGGTGGGTTCTTTATTAATGAATTTTTAGATGTTTACATGCATTGCACTACTGGTAGAGGTGGTGGTTGTGTCGTTGGTACATTGGACTCCAGGGTCTAGACCTGGCCGGGTTATTTTGTTGTGTTCTTGGCGGGCAAGACACTCTGCTCTCACAGTGCCTCTGTCTATCTGCTTCTGTTTAAATGGCTAATTGGCATTCCATCCAGGCGGGAGTAGAACTACTCCTCATCACTTCATGCTATGAAAACTGGGATAAGTTTCTAGCTACACCAGGGCCACTTGGCTTGAGTGCCTTATTTAAATATTTGTTACCATTTGTTCCCATGCACCCACGGTGTTGATAGTGCATGTCAGTTTTGCACCACTTAGGACTCATTGCTCACTAGTGCTCTCCTTGTAACATCTCACCCTCACCTGGAGTAAAATTTTTTTAACCGTTTTCCTCCCAAGATCTCAGTTACTTTTAGTAATTCTCTTTACTGTCTTCCAACGAATTATTGTGATGTTAGTTCAGAGAATTTGGTATTGTATTATTTATTAAAACCTTCAACTGATATTTCTCTTTGTATTCATCACTTGTTTGCTCAATATTGTATGGATATTGTAAGGAGTAATTCTGTCT